GTTGTTGTTGTTGTTGTTGTTGTTGTTGTTGTTGTTGTTGTTGTTGTTTACATGAAATGCAGCCAACGACGTCGGCTTTTACTTACGTCAAGTACACAAGAAAACAAATTCATTTATTCTGATTTTGTATTTTATTAAAAAAAATATTGTTTTATTACTTTTCCGATTATAAAATGCTTTTATATGAATGATATAAATATAAATAAACATATCTGATAAAATAACAAATTTAAATAAAGGCAGCAAAGTCAATAAAGATTGCACTTTTTGATTTTAAAAACTATAAATTGAGAAGAAAAAAAAATAAAGCATCAATTTATATTAAACCATTCTGCTGACACGGGTGCGACATTGAGATACAAAATCCACGCCACAGCCTTTGAATGCGGTGGTATTGTTCAAAACCCTTTCAGTAGTATTCATAAGGAAGAGCTTTTCAAAAAAATGGAAGAATTATTTTTTAAATAAATTAAATTTATTATATATTGGTATTTTTAAAGTTATTAATGTAAGGATAATATGAACAACATGGATTTTACGTACCTTCATGGCGTCTTGAATAGCTGATGCAGTTTAGAATCCTGGCGATGTCATGGCACATTTCCACCACGGTCTTGCCCTTCATCTTCAAAACATCTCCGACCTTATCTTTGACTTGTGTAGGGTTGGAAGCAATAACTCGAAGACCAAAATTTGCCAGAGATCTATTAACCTTGACGATGATTCAGCAGAAAAACGTTTCCGTTTTCCTAATACGTAATACACCGTTGAGGAGACTTTATCTTATAAACATGACAGCTTAATTCGTCAATCGACTATTGGAATTGTAAATAGCGAAAAAACTGGGCACAAGAATGTGCGACGAGTCACGTATGGAAATGATCGCAGCAGATCGACTTATCGATAATTGTATCTCGCATTGTTTTACCTTGACAATTTCCTTTACTTCGAATGGATATTATTTAGAATAACTTTGAGAAGGGGGTTAGCTTAGTTTGGATTTTTTTTTTTTATTTCAAATAATTAAAAAAAAAAAGTGTTTTTTGTTTTATTTTCGATATACATACTGATATAAATTTATTTTATTTGCAGATAATTTGTGTAATCGGGATTGAATGTTAACACATATAGACACTCTCACATACACATACAAATACACATACACACACACATACACACACACATATATATATATATACAGACGCACACAAAAATTCATGAACCTATCGAGTTGAGTAATATAGTTTACCCTTCTGTTCTTAATGGTTAACGAATACATACACAATTACATACACATATATAGATATGCATTGCTGTATGTATGAAACTAAAAACAAACGGCATATATTGTATGTAGAATTACGTATAAAATAATATGAATACCAACAGCTTAAACATTTAAAAAGTCTACAATTTGAATATATATGTAATGTGGAAAGTACATGCGCACAGATTACTTGGGGCAATGTTTAAACAATAAATGTATATATAAATGTGCACTTGTGTGATTATGCGGACAATATATGTATGTATGTATGAATGCATGTATGCGGTTACAAGAGGGCGAGTTCGTTATTGTTTTCATTTCATTTCACATTTATTGCATTTTGCAACAGATCTTCAAAACCAGACTGATCTTGATCTTATTAGAATATGTATACGATTTAAAGCAGATATTCTGCTGACTATTTGCAAGGGTTTTTACGACAAAATTGACAACTGTTTTAATGCGCGTTTCAGTCAAACCATCGATGTATGGCTATAGCATCACCACCAATATTTACAGTTTTCAACAGCTTCTTCAAAATCATACGAATCTTCGTTAATTTCCGCAATATCGCTAGATGAGGGCTCATCTACAGTCGTACCCTTTGTAGTGCCATTGACTGGCGCAGAAGACTGAGATGGCATCGAAGAGACACTGTCATCGCTTATCGCGCTCGTTATGATCTTTTCGAGAGAGTCACTCTCGTTATTATTATTGCTACCGTTACTTACTGCTGTGGGCGTGTTAACGATAGTCGATTCGGTGACAATAATATCGCTGTTACTGTTACCACCCGCCGTATTCTCTCCCATTGTTGGTAAGGTCACGTTTGGATTGAAAGGTGAGTCTAAATCTTCAAGTCCGTCGGGAATTGTCAATTTAGCTAATTCTTCCCGTAAGTGTCGATATTGTCGTCGCAAGACCATTGAATTAAACGAAATCGTACGGCTGTTGCGTTCACTATATTGAGGTTTACTCAGCTCCTCAATCCAATTTTCGATTTGAGTGCAGATTTCATTTCGTTTAAGCCAAAAATGCGTGTGAATCACCTAAAAAACGATTTAGTTTAATGATAGCAACAAATTGAAGCACAAACAACAAATGAGCACGTACATCCTTAAAACATGGACTGGGATTTCGAATCTGCTCCAGCATAGCCCAACGTACGCAGGCCTGATAAATGTTGCTGTTGTATTCACGCGACGAATGAGTACCGCTCGGTGTACCGCGGCTGCGTTCGAACCCGGGCTCGTTAAAGTAAGGCTCGGGCACCAAAATCAACGATTGTATAGAGACCAATACTTGCAAAAAACTTGATGTTTGCGCGTTCCACTTTTCCTCAGGACGTCCGTGCCACGTGTTTAATACGGACAAGCACACCTTGCCGTCGTTATATAAATTGGGATTAAAGCGAACTGAATGACGTCCGGTTGTTTCTAAATTTATTTGCATCGGTTGATTTGGATAGTCAGGCGGAAAGAAAACGTCGAATTCGAAGCAACCGTTAGCGTAAGGTGTATCGGCAGGACCAGTAATAAGAACCTGTCGCAAAACATGAATTCCGCATATAAGGATCGAATTGGATTTGATAGACATACCTTCATGACATCTAAACGATCCGTATCACAGCGAACAAAAACTGAACTACTAAATGACAATGGCAAACTAGTGGATAGCGTAACGGCTTCTTGAGCCAGGCGTTTAACACGGGAAGGATGATAGCGATCACCAGCTAGCCTCACCATTTTTTCAAAATGATGAGAGACCGTAAACCGATAACCACTATTCTCGGCCTCAACAATCATGTCATATGTATCAAATTGCAGCTTCTTCATCACTTCTAAATAGCGTTCTTCGACCGATTGGCTTTGCAGAGATCTACCATTATTCAATATTCTTCCGTCTTTGTCTGCGCCTCGCGAATGCCCTTCCATAGGACCTATGACGTTAGTTGCTTTCTGTACTAAAGCTGTTGTCTCTTGTATATCGGGGATGAGTAAAGCCAAACCCTCATCATCCCCATCGTCAATGTTAACAGTGACCTGTTGCGTTTGACCTTTAATGTTTGACTTTTTGTTCAGTCTAATCAAAATTGAAAACACACATAAGACCACCAAATGCACAAAAGCCAAAAAAAAAATTTGTATATAATAAGCACATACTTTAAACGTTTAGCATATGTGTCCACACAAGTTTTCATGTTAACAAGCAGCTCGGCAATCGAAGGAGAACTTTTGCTTGGCTGGGGTTGAAGCAGAGATGTTAGTTGTTGGGAAAGGGACAAAGCTCGCAACAACTGTAGAATGGCCCGGTACAACGGAATGTGCCTAGTGATGTCAAGAACAGAGTCATTGCGTAAATAGGAACTTAATGCCGGAATTAAGCAGGACTGCTGCAGTAGCTGAAGAAACTGGTTAGGCAACTCGCCACCCAATTCATTTATCTCCTGAGGTGGCATTATTTCTTCGACTAAGAGAGACGTTGGTATTCGATCGCCTGGATTTACATAACTCGAGAGAACCTACAATCGCAACAAGTAAAAAAAACCCCAAATAAATAACCGACACATAAATTCAAAATACTTTCTAATTGCACTAGCATCCCCTCTCCCTCTCCCTCTCCCTTTTCGGTAAAAGAAATCGGCACATGGCCCCGCTTGACGTTGTTGCGGAACTGAACATTGACTAACAAATAATTTTAAATAATTATCTCTTTACATAACAAAGTTCGATATTTAGCGGACCAAATTTCCATCGTTCCAAGCATGAAACGACAATGAGCCTTATCATAAAGAGGGGGAAATCCAAGAAAGGGTCGTACACCCACAATAACATATGAAAAAGTAGAAGAAAATCGGGAATCACGCTCTGCGGTTAAGATTATTTGCATAAGGATTTAATTAATAGGTAATGAGTCGTCTTACATCACGAGAACGCTAGGCAATGCCCATGTTCACGGAATCCTGCAAGAAGTGAAAATTATTGGCCTCAGAGACCAGGCCACGCTTCCTTTGACTACTGATTGATTTGATTCATTCCATGAAGAATTTTTGTTAAGGCAGACTTTAGAAGAGGCTTGTGAAAATTCCTTGATTCACTTTAGTTACCCGGCAAGAAATCTCGAAAGTATCATAATGATGGAATAATGCTTTTGGCAGAAAAATGACAATAAAATTGGCTATCAAAATGATATATCGTTTGTTTGATCTCTTCAAGATATGAGTAAAATACATTTGAAGGGGTCCTCTTGCCTGATACTATGTAACGCTTTTGGTGGGTTTGCAAGTATATAATAAAAAATGATAGGATATCATTATGGTCACCGATAGTGTTTGAAAGCAATTATGAGAAAAGTGATTCTCAACTTCCACGTGGAACAACATTAACTAAATACCAGGTATCCCTAGCAACAAACAAAACTAAGTTATAGAGAACTAAGTTATTTTATGGCAGCCGCATTATTAAATACGAATGGCATTAAAAGAGAATAGAAGAATAAAATTGAATGTTTGCGCTAAAGAGAATAATGGTAATAATAATAATAATAGCAATAATAATAGCAATAATAATAGTAATTAAATAATAAAAATAATAAATAATAATAAAAAATATGATTCAACAAAACGCTTGTGCCTTTCATGTAATTTTAGAATTCATTTCAATGGTCCGAATAAATTATAACAATAGCATTAATTAATTTTACAGGCCAACGAGTGTACGGCGGTCCCACGGTTAACTTTTACGCCAAATTGTCATTATTTCATTGGTAAAACGTTCATTCATTGATAAACTCTGTTGTCGAAAGGGGTTACGGTTCATGTCATTCTCTGTCAAATTACAGTCTATGGACTGTGGGTAAATTTTGATAGTGAAATATTGGAAATTAAACATTTTTGACTTATATGGATTTACTTTTCATGAGAATGCTTATATGCTATGGTGTCCAAGATATAGACCTTTTTGACCCATATTTTATATAGCCAAGCTATATATCAAATTACGTTATGAGCCGATTTTGATCATAAAACACCACAAAATGCACATTTTTCCACTATAAAGGCGCCAATTTGCCATGAGAATGCCTATAGAGGGTAGAGCCCAACAAATTAAGGTAAATTTTTGTCGCCAATTTTGACCATAGAATATTGAATATAAGACCTTTCTGCCTGACCTTTATGAAAATTGTCTAATGGCATTCATATTGTCTTCATATATATATAGATTATATAATATTCTATCGTTTTCGGCAGGGGCATTTTTTTGTTTTTAGTCGTGAAGAAAGCGAAGCACTTTGGCGGAAGTAGTCGCAAAGATGCTCAAGCCATTTTCAATACTGGTTGTGTTCAAATGAAAACTCTCGCTAACTGTCAAATTTAATTAAAATATCTCCAAAATTGTGACCTGTAAGCTAAACACAAACGCTACATGGAGAAACGTCAGAGAGGCCGAAAAGACGGACATGAATTGATCGATTAATGTAAAAAATGTGCGTCTATGTCCCGCTCTTCTGAGTATTGTAACGATGTATGGCATAGTTGTTGTTTACTTTTATGGAAAAAGGGGAATTTTTCGCGTTTACCCTCTCAGTTAACACAAAATGAAGTCCGCGAAGTGAAGTCAGGCGACTATAGCATTTGTAAAGCAATACAAATTGAATTTCTGTCGCAAAAATCTTAAAAAACTAAGGCAGTATAAGGAGCTTTGCTGAACTGCTTGACAATAATTGATGCGATTAGTTTAGTGTAAACGTCGCGTAACGCTCGAACAACAACATTCCTAAGTAAGACGAAATTCGCAATTTAAAAGTTCATTTACAACTTGATCTTAGCAGTTTCTTAACACATTTAGTTACCCGCAGAAAAAGGGAAATTTCAAAATATTTTCAAGGTTTTTCTGAAACACGCAGCATCCCGGGCAATAGTTTTCTTCTTCTAATGGCGAATACGATAATGCAATAAGCAAACTTACCTGTAACAAGACTGTAACATGTTCTTCTTCACTCTTTTGTCGAAGCAACGCCTGCTCCACATTCCAAGATTGCGTAGTTGAGCCAGTACCAAATCCAGTTCCTTTAGCCCAATAAATATGGCTTTTATCGTCGGAAGTAGGCAATGAAGCGTCATCGACATTACTAACAGAATTTTTCAAGCCTCCGTTGGATACCTGATCAAAATTATTTATTAGTCTTGTAACGCGTTCTCAAGCATGAGTAACTTAATATTACCTCGGTTTGAGGACTAATTAACTGATAGTTAGGTGATTGATGAGTAAACACACCCAAACAATTCAGCAGTAAATGCATTGCTCCGACTTCAATTACCATACGACGTAGCAGCATACCATCATCGGTGGTTAGCGGGCAGCCGTCCAATAATTGGCGAAACACTTCAAATGGCATCGTTGGCAAAGATGGGGCCAAGCACAAGCTGTAAATATCATCTTTAAGCCCGCCAAGTGAGATTAAATACAGTCAACATAAATAATTTGAAATATATATGTGAAACCTACTTCCTTCCCCATCGCCAGTAACGCCCAGAACCAAACGGAGTAGACATTGAGCTTTCAATTTATCACGTAATAGCACATCAGAATACGCAGGTAAACGTAAAAAGAGACCAAACGCCGCTAACGAATGCTGCGGTACGGAAGTGATAACAACATGCTTAGATGTCGGTTCAGTTAATGAGTCCTCGAGATCTTCATAGATATCATCGTTGGGTTCCAGTTTAACCCAATCCGTCATTGGAGGACTTTTCTCTTTTTCCGGAATAGGATTTTGCGATTTACGTGCAGCACTATCAGTATAAACAGTCGGCAAATATAGAGCCAATAACGATAATCCACCGCGACTAGAAAATCGCTGTAAAGGCGACGACAAAGGCTCCATATTAACTGCCTTTACTTTCGATGAGTCATCGTTTTCCTCGGTGTTGACTTTACTGACGGGCACCTGTAGCGAAATAAGGTACGAATCATACAACTAAACTTAGATTTTTTTTTTGTTTCCAAATAATGTTCCCATACCAACGTTAGGGAAATGCAAGGCGTAGACAAAGAATGGCCTTTAGTTTGTAGCGTGGCAAGTAACTGCGAAATTGTTGTGTCACTCGAAATCAATATATCCGGATAATCCGGATGTATCAGTTGAACGTTACTAGTCACACTTGAGGAATTCGACGATGTAAGGAAATCCTCTAGTACCATGAATTCTGTAATAGTAGTAACGATATAGATAGAGAGAGATTATATTCATAAAAAATGGGGGGAAAATTATAGTTACTTGAAAGATTGGGAAAGAGTTCTTTATTATCTTTATGAGCAGCTGCTTGATTCTTTGCATCCTTGATACGTTTATCTTTAGCAGTGACCCCGGCAGCAACACTCAAAAATTCCATACCATTTTCTAAACCATTAAAGTTGATCGCTATATCTCCGTATGCATCGCTATGCGTCTTCCCACCCTCAAAGTGTTGCTTCAGCAAATCGCCAGTTAATCCACCTGACAATATTGGTGTGGTAATTGGTGTACTTGTGCTTTCATTGTGACGCGCTTCTACATTTACCGAGGAAAATGAATTACTATAAATTGTATTTTCGAGCGGTAAATAAATAAATGGCTGTCATTAATAAACTTTAAATCAATTTTAATATGTCCGACTCTACATTGAAATCACGATAGCATTTACGGTCATTTAGTGCGATCGATCGAAGGACTTGCTCAATTTGCTAAATATTGAGGCCGAAAATCAAGCAAATAATATAACTTTAATTATATCCGACTTTTGTCATATATAGCAATACACAAGTGGCGGATATTACATCGGTCGACTTTACTCGAATACAGCACTTTTTTTTTTTTTCTATGACGATTCCAATTCCACACTTACCAGATACACAGTTTTGCAGAATATCTTGACATTTGCTGTTCGTACTGACAGAGAAGAGTAGATGATGCGTACTTATGCGTTTTGAGGGATGATGATTTACTAAAGCCATTGATACACCGTTTGAAGCAACGGTTGAGTTAGATTGCAAAGGCCCAGATGATGGTAGCGCGGCCGCATATGGATCCCTTTTCTGAAGAGGTTGTTTGCTGCGCACCGAAACCAGAATACGTTCATTTTCAAGCAATAATTGTAGAACGAATTGACGCGTAAAACCGGATATAGCCACCTTCGAGGACCGATCATTAAAAGGCATACTGGAAATGGGAGGCGGTTGCTGAATGACCTCGATAAGAAGCATAGTCAATATGTCCTGATTTTTAGGATGGCAAGTCGTGACGCGTGTAAAGAAATTTATGGTCGCGCGTTCGATACGTATAAATGTTTGTTGCAATGGTTCCATTGGAGTATTTTGCGCGCCGCCATTATTGGCAAATTCTAGCGAGCGACGATTGCAAAGTAATGTCAATAACGATTTCCAAAATATGGAACCTTGCTTCGTCCCAAGCCAATCACGCATATGCCCTTCAGCGCAGCATTCCGAAAAGAAGTCCAATATTTTAGGAACTAAATGTGATTTTAGCAATGGCGGTTGATAAGCATTTTCTACATCGGTCTGCATACTCTCAATATTGTCTTCGGCTACCTTATCGGCGTCGGTGAGGCAGTCATTAAACATTTGGAAATGGACTGCCGGCAACTCTACAGCTTGCGGTTGTGGTTGTGGTTGTGGTTGTGGTTGTGGTTGCGACTGTTGCTCTATGGCGTTTAATGTTGAACAATATTCATAGAGAGCATAGGCCAAAAGTTTTGGTAAGTCAGAATCCACCAATTGATACACAACATTTGGCGATTGGCACGCTATCGCAATTGTGGCCAAATGTGATGGCCGCTGAAGTAATGTCGACAATCTGTCAACAGAATTGGCAAACCATACACTACCGCTAGCTTCTTTGCTGTCATCAGTCAGACCGCTCTTTAACTGCATTTCGATATCTTCAGTTGTTTTCATTTCGGTTTGCGGTAGTATGACATTCCATTTTTGCAAAAGGCGATCGAAGAGCGGCGGTTTAATGAAACAAAGTGAGCAAATTAAAGTATCGAATGAAATTTTTAAAGGCTCCTCATTTGCCAAACAATCAATCCAATACACACAAGCATCAAATATATCGGAAGTTAGATATTCTTGAAGATTGGCTTGACCTTCAGCGTGAACATGCCACAATATTGAGGCAATGCACTTAATGAAGCCGCTTTGAGGATTATTACAACGTACAATGTTAGTGCTATAGTTTTGTCTTAGTTTTACTATCCACTCAAGTAATACTTGCACTTTATCCAACGTGTATATATCTTTAGCGGTACAAAGATTATAAAGTAAATCACAAATGCTGTCATTAGAAAGTTTGTAGGCTGAAAAAGGAAATAACACTTGACATATTTAATTGGAGTACATTATCAGATATTCAGAACAACGCACCTTGAGGTGTTGTCCCCCAAAGTAAAACGTGTATCAAAGATAAACACAAATCACGACTGTATGCACCCAACTTTAGAAGAACGGTTTCAAGATTTTGGACTGTGGAATTTGGAATCATTGGCATTATATTCATTAGCGAACAACACGCTTCCAGGAAGCCGGGATAAGCTGCTGAAGCACCAATTACATCTGCAGCCAATTTTGAATCGGGTGGAGTTAAAGAAGCTGCTGTAAAGCATCGTGATAATATGCGAACCCATCCCACACTTGTCTTGGCGAAGGTATCATCATCAACACTGGATTCAAAATTAAAGTTTGTTGGATTAATTGTGCCCGCGCTACCACTGCTCACTGCAGATCCCGTTGCTGTCGATCCAAATATTGTGTTGCCTAAAACCGCAATTTGAGTTAGACCAATGCTTGGACTATCTTTTGGCCTGTTCGTTGAGAAACATATATGCATATAGCAATGGCATCGAAATGAAAAGAAGAAGGAATCAATTAATATTATTACCTGTACAATCTGAGTATCACACTCGTAGCTATTTCAGGTTTGGCCAATTTAAGGCGTATACATGTCATACCGGTTGTCGTAAGAGGCGGACCAACGGGTACGGGTCCCAAACCGAAATCTCTAGAAATTTCCAAAGCTACTGCCGATGGACACGAAGCTAAAGTAGGAGCATGAGGTTGCAATTGAACCTCGCGTAATAAAATGGCAGTGGGAAGAGTAATCGTTAAATCTGCATGCGACTCGTTAGGATAGAACATGTAACTCCAAGCCGGTGTGCGTGGTCGACGATGCGTTGCCACTGGATTGGAGATGAGTACATCAGCGGATTGTGCAGTCTCGTTCTCGGCGGATATTGCACAGAAAGGAGCAAAATTGATAAGACCATCTTTTAAATGGCGTTGCGCTTGAGCGCTACCCCCTGAATTTTTCTTAACATTATTATTGCTCGACGTATGAAAGACCATTTTAAGTTTTGTGTCTCTTGTAATATGCTGCATTATTAACGAAATCTATAAATGAACAAAGATGAAATTGTCACACTACTTCGCTTATTTCGCTGCAAAAGCCTTACCAGTCCGGGTTGCATATTAATGAGTGATTTGTTCAAATTTACTAAATTCTTGCAAATGATCTTAATTCCACCTAACTGAGTAAATATTTGCACTGCTGAAGGAACCTCTAATACCTTTGAAATATACCACAATAGTGGCTCCGATAAGTGCAAACGTGGTAATGCGTTGCGGTGTTGAATGCCTGTGAAACCGATGTACAAAATGTAGAAAATAATGGATTTTTTTTTTCTTTTACTTGTTTTATGCTTACTTGATTCAAGGTATTGACATATAGGCGCTACAATCAAGCGAGAATTCGAAACTTTCTCGCATAATGTAATAAGCATATTAAAAACCGCGTCTGCTGTTGTTTGCGGTTCTTCCAGAAAGAAATTCGAATCGGTTGGCTTGACGCTATATAGAGCCGACGACACCATCAAAGTAAAAGAGTTGCTTGAACAATGAGATAAAGAACCCAGCAATCGTTTCATAGTTGGAAAATGCCGCAGGACTAAGAGAAACATAGTTTTATATATGCATACCGGTGTGTAAAAAAAAAAAAAAAAAATGTATATTTACCTGTATCTGCTATGCAAGGTGTCTTAATGCGATGTCCTTCGATATTTAACTGTTCAGCCTTTATTTCATCTGTTTGGCTTTCTGTTGAAAGCTCTTCTTCTTCGGGAATTGTGACATCCTACAATTCAAAAAGGATGAAATCAGTGTTCCATATAAAGACAAAGATTAAAAAAAAAAAAATTTTTAAAAGTTACGCTTAATTGCCGAGGAAGTTCAGTTTGTATTAATGATGAGCACAGTTTAAGCAAACTGATAATTAGCGAATTGTCGGATATTGATGTATTATGTTTGGCATGATCGGATCCCAAAACATTGGCAAAAAGGCTACTAAATGTATTGGAAGCATTGTTAGCATCTGAAATTCTTTGGCACTGTAGTTTGTCACCATTCGAAATGTTGTTAAACACAAGAAAAGCTGTTCGAAGATCTCGATGAAAGAAGTATATTGAAGATGTGTGTTTAAGATAACACTTACATACGCACTCAATAATATGCAGCGATACATTCAAATCTGCTTTGTCATTTGGCATTGTTAATAAGTCTCGCACAAGTTGGCTTTGAGCATCAATCGGACCCAGTTGATTGCTGATCGCTCCTCCAGGTTGAATCAATTGAAGAACAACGTGCAATAAGGTATCTTTGAGCTTACGTTTACATGAAATTACGTCATCATTTGTTTCGCCCTTTCGATGCAACCAATGGAGCAGTTCATGAAGGTGTTTGCATATTGTTGGTCCTGCCTAAAATGCAAACAGATATGTACAGAGCGTCCAAGAACATATCACCACTGGTTGTAGCTTACACAACGATTTGTAATTATAGCCGAACTCATTCCATAACCAGAAAAGAAGCGAAGAAGCATTTTTTCAAAATTCTCATCATTGATAATAACCTCATTGATGCGCGTTGTGTCGGCCACCTCTTCTTCACCAATAAATTGGGAATTACATGCCAATAACAGACATTGAAAACCTAAGCACCAGGTACGCAACTTTACATCATTATGCCAAGCTAAAGCCAGCAATAGCCCTTGCACGGCATTCGCACCAAATGGTATCTTTGGTACATCAGCATTTGTAATGCCCGTATTAAACGACTTATCGGCCAATTCTCCGTTTAGTGTCAGCCACATTTGCAATACTTGTTCCAAATGAACCCATGTCTCCTTAAAAAAAATGAAAATAAATGAACAGTTCAATCAACATTTTGATAAGTTTCTAAACATCAGTCAAAATATGAATACATACTTGCAAATGCAAATCAGATAATATGCAATCAAAGACATTCTTGAACATATTGTACGTATTTAGGCCGCAATTGTATTCAGGCCCTGACCAAATATTGGTAAGATATTCCGGCCAAACTGTCGCCTCTGCCGCGTTTGTAATAACATCATTCGTCATGATTTGTGGCAACGAAGAGAACATATCCAGAGACGACACTACGGTTATACGACGTAAATCCATTTCCACATGCAAATTTAGGCCAATATCTAAACGGGCATCCATAGCGCCAGATAATGACTTGCAGAAAAAATTGAAAGTATTCTTATTGTTCGAGTTTTCTTTCCTCGCAACCGGTTTACTGCGCTCTGTAATATCGATATCATTTAGTATCTCGTCGAACTCTGTGTCTTCACATTCAATCAATGACGGTAAATACGGATACTTCACTCCATCGGTGTATTGTACATCGTTGCTGTTGATTTGGCTTGAAGTCAATGGTTGCGATAAGTAGGGAGCTAAAATACCCGTTATGTAGCCCTTTTTATTTTGATTTATTAGCAGTATGATGACTTACACGTGTAGTCCACGAATAAATCTTTGGTCTCATGCATTCCTTCCATAGGACGAACGGTATCATTTGTGGGTGTGGTGTCGTTATCTTTAAAGTGTTTGTCAGCGTCCAAGAGATCCTGTGTAGAACAAGTTTCTAATTAAAAATTATGGATTAAAAATTATTAATTGCGAAAGCAAACCTGTAACAAACAAGTTATGGCGTGAACAGCCCAGGGTTGATGTTGATCGTTCCAGACAGCCAGACGTATTAATTGCTCTAGTTGATTAATGGTTATAATTTTTGAAAGTTGAACCGCTGGACGGCACGCCGACACTAGGCGAGCAATTACCTAATTATTATTTCGGAAAAATAAAAGTAAAAAAATTTTATACAATTTAATGAGTTAATGTTTAAATTGAAATAAATATCTTACGCACTTTGCTAGTGAGTAAGAATTGATCAAAATTTTATACAATTTAATGAGTTAATGTTTAAATTGAAATAAATATCTTACGCACTTTGCTAGTGAGTAAGAATTGATCCATGTTGCAAGTAAAATCCATTTCAAGCAATAAAGCCACTAGACCGCGAATAACAATTAAAATATTATTTAGTCGTATTGTTTTTAAGCCTTTGTCGAAATTATTTTCACATTCTTGTATAGTATCTTTGCTTAGTTTAGGTAGGAGAACATTTCTATTGGATTTATTTGCCGGCTTCGGTTTCCCAGTCAGTTCCATAAAAATTCCCGGATGCTATATAATTGGAATGATAATTCTTAGTATTGCCCATCTTTATTCTTTATCCTTTTCGTACCTCATTTTGTATCATATAGATTTTCTTTCCCCAATCAGTGTAAGGTTGAAGGCTATATTTACTTTGCTGCACTATTCTCTTTTTAAAACATCGCAGTTGTTTGCCACCACCGTTAGACGATTGTGTTCGAGGCTTTGAAAATTCTGAATCACAACTCATGAATTCCCAACGGTTTACAGCTAGAATTACAAAAATTAGTTTTGCTTCTCTTAGCGTCGTAACATTTATACATTTATCCTTGCGATCGTTGCTATCATCCAGGCACACCGAGAGAAATAGTAAAAGCCACGAAATTAATTGTAAATCAGATTTTGACCACAAACCGCCGCTGGATGACTCATTATTAACTGGATATAAACCGACTTCAGATGCTTCTTGATAGTGAGGCGAAATAGGTGCCAATAATTTAGCTAACGTTTTTAATATCGCATCTATAACTATTGATCGGCACGTTCCCATAGCAATGCTTCGTCTTCCCAAGTACGTCAACATAAAAAATATCCTAAGCAAAATCAAAAACAATCAATTATTTTAGATACGAATAGTAAGCCAGTGAAAGACGAACTAAATCTAAGTTACATACCGATCTTGAGGGAAAATTTTCGTATTTTGGGAAGAAAATAATTTGCAAAATATATCTGCGAGGAAGTCCCCCCACCAGTTTTGAAAACAACACGTTCGTACCAATAAGGAGCATGTAGCTAATTGTATGTGGGCATCACCGTACACTACCAAGGTATCAAAGAGCATATTAGCCACTTCCATAGTAAAATATTGATGTAATGACGTCATATCTTTAAAATTATACTCGATTGAAAAGTTAAGTAACATTTCGACCAGAGTTTGCCCAAGCACTCGTAATTTATCCCGCGAAGCTACCTGCAAAGCCTGCATTGTGGAAATAGGCGGTACAGGAGATGCAATCTGTAACGAGACCTCTAGGCGATTGATTACATTTTGAATTACGTAAATTTGATGCTGCAGCATGATACATTCCTATTATATAATAGATGATAAAAAAAACTTCACTGGACATATTAAACGTATGCAATTAAACAAACCTCATAGATGCAGGTGATTTTGCTATTATCCAATATAGTAACATCGTCATCACGTTGCTTATTAATAAAAGCTTGCATGTGAGCAGCGTTTGTCATTTCCGAGTTAAGCAAAGGCGTCAATAAATCTAAAAGTTTGCAACTTGCTAAGCTATAGCGGCAGTGAACATCTTCATAAAGTGAGGTAAGGGCCTTTATTTGGGCCTGTATATTTTGTGGCGGATATTTCATATAATTTAGCAGTGGGTCGGCGTAACCGTCCGATTCTAAAACTATTACATGTCCAAAGAAAGAACCGATGGGTATTTTGCACTTAGTTGAGGACATGCCAATGCGTCCCATAATTGTGATTTTCATATATCTACATATAGGCGGTGGCTGTAGATCGCTGAGTACCAAAGTTTTAGTACCAATATCTGGAGCCACAACTAAGCGAACACTGTCAGTCTCTTCATCGAAGCACCAAATGTCAATATGCAGCGAAGCCAAATCATCGCAAGATGGTATAAAAAGATCCGTTAATAGGACAGGCGAACCAAAATCGAGTACAACGTAGCGACGTGCGCCTGAATGCATCCGATCTATGATTACCATCTGCTTTGGCGGTGGTGTTAACAGTTTATGCCACGCGAAAACATTGTTACAGTTGTTATTTGAATTGTCGCCGTTGGACACACCGTTTGGGTCTACAGACTGAATTGGTTCAAGTTTGTTACCATCGCTAGTGTTCGCGCCACTTGGCATAACATTTGCGTTCGTTTGTTTACCGCCTTCATAGATAAATTTAATTTTTGGCAAGTTGTTAGTGTATTTAGTTTTAATTTTTTCCTCCGGTGCACTATTCGACGATTCTGTGCCGCTGATTAGTGTCACATCTACGGCTGAGATTTCCGAAAGTTAAAGTAATGCAGATATATATATATATATATATATTCAGTGTATAATGATTTGATATAGATATGTTTATATTCGTTTACTTACGACCAATGCCGTTCGGCTTTAATTCGACTTTTTCCAATTCCATTTTCTTCGACTTATCCCATTTGAGTTTTTCCACAAGTTTATTAACATTATTTTTTACGTTATTCAATAGATCGTTTACCTGCAATGCAAATCCAAAAGGAAAACATTAGTTATATAATAGATTAGATATATAATACATTTACACTGTGTAGCATTACTTCTTCTGTATTAGATAAATCCACCAAGTTCGAGAGCATCGGCGCTGCCACCAAATCTTCCATATTTATATTGGAGGAACTATTCGCAGATACAGTATCCATATTATCTATGCGGGTAGCTTCTGACGATGCCGTGCAAGTGAAATGCAATTGCTCTACCTCAAGCAAGCCCCGCAATTGATTGCTCACACTTTTACACCTAATCAATTGTGGAAAAGTTCGCAAGTCAACACCGTCTGCAATATATAATGTATTCACACACACACATAAACACAAGATTCTTTCTTCAGATTTCTTTATCTTACCAATAGAAGAAAGTTTTTTTAAATCAATTCCGCCTGCATGAAAAACTCCAGCATTGGTTCGTATAATTGTGGTTAGAATCGATGAAAAATTTACATTGTTTTTATTGACATTTGTCAGATCGTAATCAAATATTTCCGGTTCAAAAGGAAAGCCGTAAAGACCAAATCTGTAATGAAGCGGTCACGTGCAGTAATCGGAAGCAAGCAATTGAGTTTTAATATATTTTTGAAAATTCACTAACCTAGTTCCTAGAAGAGCTCCGTAGGGATCCCAGCGCTTATTCATTTCTTGAGAGATTTCAGTCAGGAGTTTAATGCAAAGTTCAGGAATACCGTGATAACATTTTAGTGTTGACGTAACCCAAGTTAACGTTGCATACCAAGACACCACACTAGCATACTTAGCCAAAGGTAATTCGTTAAAAGTATTCGCAATAGCATCTCTCATGGCTACGTCTAAGGTGGTATGAGCTTGAATTTCAGTAGGAAGATTACAGATACCACTAAAACAAAATAGGGAAACATTTTTATGTTGGAAATTTGATAGAGTGCTGCGCTTAACGCTTACTCAGTAAGTAATACAACTAATTTTAGACATTTATGAGCCAGACTCCTATCACCGCGTATAATACATTGGCGTAATGTATCCTCCAAATACTTCTCTGTCAGGCATATGCACTCAAATTGCTGGGCTAGAAGATCTGTGTAATTTGCAGCGGTTTGTTTAGTAATTTGTGTCTTAATGCGTTCCGATTTTGGAGAACGATAGCGTTTCAGACGAATGCAACAAATCCAAATGAGAATGTCCAAAGACAGGTTCTTGGCAAGATTTGACGAGTGTTCTTCACTGACAATTTTAAATAAATTTTCCAGCAATTGATTACTTTCTAGCATTGCAATGCGTTGTAAACGCTCGTTTGGAATTTTATTTTGCAACTTAACACCGCGCACGTAAATGGAGATTTCGTGTAACCAATCGCAACCTAAAAGTAAAGCAACGACAACAAAGCGAACATAAAATTGTTATCGATGAACTGAAGGGAATAGGTGCAAGCAGAATGACGTGGTTTCGCTTATCATACCTATGTAAAAGTCATAACGAGCTTGTTTAGATGAGGTATTCGTAGGAAATGAAGTGGCAGTGGTGCTGGTTGTGGTGGTAGTTGTGGCAGAGAAAGAAGTGGTGGAGCTTGGATTGACCTTGGTGGTATTATTGGATTGATTTTTAAAAACAAAACAATGTGATGCTGATGATAAATTATTAGCAAATGAAGATGACAATAAGCGCATAATGCCACCCTTGCGAACAGGTACTGAAAATGCAATAATTATCAACCACATATGAAATGTGCGAACATAAAGCATGTACATTTTAAACATTCAAACCGATTAGCTCCACATGAAGGCGGGCAAACATACTTACCCCGATTTTTCGACGGCACCTCTTTTGACGGATCTGCCATAGTTTTGATATGCAACAGAAAGTTTCGCGTGCGTGTTTTAAACAACTTAGGCGATGTTAATGTCACAGTTCCACTCTGCTCGCCTAGATCCATACATGACGACAACTCCATAGGTCCGGCCAAGATCTCTGCGTTATGGGTTTGCAGGTATTCCTCATTCAAAACGGGATTCTCATTGGTTCCTGAAAAGTTGAATAAAACAAATCAAAATAAATAAAATATTAAATGCCGGTTAAAACATATCACACACCGTCCAAATTTCCCAGAGGAGCATCAACATTTTCATCCTCCATTAATTGATGTTTAAAACTGGAATGTTGGCCCTTCATGCGATAGCCGAATCCACTCGTATTCTGTTTAAGAAGAGTTACTTGTATGGCTGCCGGGTTATTACACTGTTGATAGAGGGTAAACTTTAAATCAATATGGCCCAAACTAACTGGCTGCAAAAGATTCAATTCGATGATGTGTTCATCCCACGTAGTTCTGTAAATATGTGTATATTTCATACAATAATAATAAACATTTATCCATACGAAAAATATTAAAACTTTTTCATTACGTATCATTGTGTAGACGCCACGTCTTCGTGAATTGCGTATCCTCTCCGCGCATATGTTGTGTTTGCTTGCGTTGTTTTTGTGCCTGTACTAAATCATTCCAACAACTGGGCACTTCAGCCGCGTACATAGTAAGGTTTTCATCGAAAAGCGTAAGGGAATATAAAGTACGGAGATCGTCTAAATTTAAGTCTCCAGTACGATAAGCCAAAAGATTTGTGGCAGCAGCATTCATAGATGACGATGATGGGGACGGCGACGACTGCACCGCACTACAATGCGCATTCGATCCTGATGGACTACAATCCACCTTTATGCTGGTGACGTTATGGAGATGAGTCTGCGACTCATTAGATGGTTCATTTTGGTGCTGCTGCAGCAATTGTTTTTTGCCACCATCAGTTACCGATAACTCCCCGCACTCCAGGGATTTACATTCCTGTATTCCAATTTTTATATTGCTTTCGTCATCAGCATCAAGCATTTCATCACCAGATTCGTTATCGGCATCATTAAGGGAGTAGAATATTAGAGTTCCACGACGAGTGCAACAGCACAGTCGTTCTAAACTTCGGCAATAAGCGACAGCAATAAAGTGTTGTTCTTGCTCCTTAATTGTGGTAATACATTGGAAATCTTGTAATGAATAAATTTCGATCGTGCCATCTAAGCATACAACACACAAGGCGCCGTATGTTTGACACACAACTTGATTTCCCGTTGATTCAACCGCGCCCAATAGAGGAAAATTGGGCAACACGCATAATTGTTGGGGACATTTCGTTCGACTAAACGAGAGAGCGCTTTTATGTTCATTGGGTATAATTCCATCAAGACAGTCGAACAGAAGAAGTTGACAACCTATTGTTGAGCAACCAATTTGATCTTGGCATTTATCATCCTCCATTTGATAGTCATCGTTGTCATTTTCAACGTTTGCCATTATAATTTTGTTCGTGCCCTCTTTGGGAGCCTTCATTTTTACAAGTTTGACCAACAACTGGTTGCAAAAACCATTGGTTGGCATTATTTCATCAATCTCTACTAGATCCTGTTGCCTTCCGAAGGTATCATCGTCAGTTAATGCATTCATTCGTTTAAGTATGGTACAACTTTCTACTACACAATCAATTTCGTCATTTACTACCAACTTAGAAGCATTTGCGTCCATACTAGCATGGTTGCCGCTATTTTGATTGTTGTTATTCACCGAAACATAATTATTTTTTTGCTTGTTGGCGGACATACTTTCCATCCACTTCTTCTTGATGTACGAAACCTCCATTTCGGTATCATCAGAAGGTATACTGCTACCGCCACCCCCTCCTCCACCAGAGACAGATGTGTCAGCATTGTTTTCAATTAAATTGAAAACTGTCAATTCGCAAAAGTGATTTATTTTTTTAAAGTTCTCCTCAAAATCGATGTATTCGATCGCTGCATCAGATTTATCACCGGATGCCCCTGCGCCAGTATTTGTTTTCTTTGACATAGGCACAAAGCCATTACTATCGAAACTGTCGGCATATTTCTCGAACATCGTAGAAGTATGTGATTTATTATCATCACGATTTTCGCCTGCAGTGCCATCACCCCCTGAAATCAAAAATTGAAATCACTACTGTTTACTATCGCATAAGAAGCATTTCACTAACGTTTGCTGTTGTTACCTCCAATACCGCTACCTGTAACTGATTTTTGATTATTGAGCTCGGTAATAACACCATCGCCGCTGCCTACGGTCTCCGTAGAACGTTCGCTCTCCACTATATTTAAGACTACCATTCGCAATAGATGTTCACCTGATGTATGCCGAGTGCTTAAACCGAGAACTAATTTAGATCCAACCACGCCTGCTCGCATAGTTGAAGTCGACGTGCATGGTGTAATTGGAGGTGCATTAGAAACATTTACACCTCCCCCTCCGTTTCCTGCCAAATTTTGAGCGGCACTCATAGCATACAGTCGACCTTGCGCCCTTGCATTGGGCAGAACACAAATAGCCGTCACACGCACCCATTCAAAATTATTTTCGCACTCTTCAATGTTTGAATTTCCCGAATTGCCTATAATGTCTTTCATCAGTGTAGCAATATTAAAGCAATGCATTTGTTTCAAATGACGTTCGATGCTCCAAATTGTAACGTCACCCGTGTGCGAACAACTAGTGCATAAAACATTTGCATAATCGCTGTTAGATATGACGTCGAAACCAAGTATTCCCGCTGTCCTAACTGCGGGATTAGTGGCATAGGTAACAGACAATGGAACGTTTTGCGTGTACTCGCCTTTTACAAACGGACACATAGGCGAATGCCGCTCATGTTCGCTCCATGGTTCATCGGTTTTTTCCCAACAAACAAGACATACATTACATGTAAAACACATGGCACGATCCTCTCCAGACGATGAAGGTTGATGATAAAATCCCGCCTGAGCCATCTGATCTGGTAAAGCCCATTTATAATCCATATGAGGCCACTTTTCAAATGTTTGCCTACGCACTGCTTCCGAATGCATTAACACGCGTTGAATATTATTACAATGCCAGTTTATGTCCGGAATGCGTGATCCAACTAACAGGTCTGTTAGACGCTCATTAATCGCAGATGCTATAGCTAAGACGGGTATGTGCCGTTCAAGCCGTTTCAATATAATAACCACGTTGTTAGCTACCAGTTTTAGACTTGAATATGGCACTTCCATACATATTGCATTCCACTGTAACGTAAAATCAATTATTTTTACATATTCCTTATATTAAAACATAGAAAAATGTTACGTACCCTCTGTGCTTTAATTCCCTTCTTCGCATTAGTCTGTGCATTCTTGATTTTCTCCATCAACTCATTGCTTACGTCATTAGGACATTCCAAGCCCTCATGCTCTAGGTCTTTTAGACATGCCTGGAATATTACCGCCTCAGAGAGCAACATCTCGAGCCGAACAATGTCATCATTCTGAGTGATAGGTGATTGCAATATTGTATCAAGCAATAACACTCCGTTGTAGTCGCCACGGAATCCTATATTCTGTCCATCAGTTATGAGGATCTTTTCTTGAAGCGGCATAAAACGCCCATAGAGCTTACAGTCAATATCTAAAAAACAAAAAACGAACATACAAATATGAAGAGTGTATAAAATATATAACTCCTGCGCAGCTGATGAAAAAGGACTGTGAGATTGATACAAAAAGCTTTTGTTGGCTATTCGATGAAAATTTTTTTACCTATTATTTACATACAGACTTTTTCGACATCTTAAGGGAAGCAGTTCGCCAAATTTACGAGTAAATGTTCGAATTGGAGTATGCAGAGAAAATAAACCATGATCCCACATTGCATTATAAAAATTCTATCCTCTTTACACACAACACAAACACAATACACAAATGCATATTAATTACGGTAAACGCACATAATGAAATGTATACTGAAATCTAAAATCATGACTCACACATACGCAAAAAAAAAAAAAAAAAAAAAAAAAAAAAAATGAAAAGCAAAAATAGCACAGCAAAAACTGTATTATTCAATCAATCACAAAAAATGTCTTATTTACCGTTTGCTAATTGATATGATTGCAAAATGACTCCAGAGTGAACATCGAGAACTTTCACTTGGCTGTTGCTGTCAAAGACAAGTATTACGTTTAAATGTGGATGATATACTATATTGCGTGTTTCGATCGGTATTTCATGAACTTCTCGACTGGAAGCTGAATTTGCAGAAGATGCGTTTGACGAGATGCCTCGGCCAGTATTAAATTCCGAAGTTCCTACTTCTAAATAGCCGTCCTGCTTCAACACTCGTTGCTCTGCGGCCATGCTTACATTGATTGAAAAATTAAAAGTTCTGCTCTTAGCCTTTACCTCCTAAATAATTTTATAGAAAGTCTTCGCAAAATCACACAAGAAAATTATTTGTTTTTAGTCACTTTTTCTGCCCTTTTAATATAATGCACGGTATTGCCATTACTAAGAATTATCTATTACTAATTTGCAACAACAACCACACATGGTACTAGTGGCAACTACATCAATATTTCAAAGCTGAAGTTATCAACTCTCTCCCTCAGCATGAAACAAAATTGAAAAGAAATTTTCCTTTAATGATTCGCAGTACTTGTTCCTGTTCATAATTCATGCAAGTTGAAGGTATGTAGGTTTATATTTTGTCTGTATTAAGATAGCGTCGTAATTTTTGAATTTTTTCTATTCTATTATCGGAATTTTTAAAAAATCTTACAAGAGTATGCTACTCTAAGCGGAATTTAAGCAAAGAAATCTTCTCTTCTAACTTGAAAACATTATAACATAAGGATATCTACTTATAGAATACTATTTTTATAGCATTTAAATGATTTCCTTAAAACAAATACCCGGAGTTTAGTCGCTGAACTTACTAATCTTTCATAATAGGTTAGACTAGCACTACCGGAATCCATTTCCTTATCATCTTTGTCATACGCTTGCGAAAAGCAACACTCTTATCTTATTCCTTCTTTATTATTCACAAGTCTTTTGGCAGTGATGTGAATTTCCTTTTTATTTCATCAAAAGTTTCTACTTTTAGATGCTCTGGCAGCCATGTTTGAAATTTTTCTTTTATTATTTATAAACAAAGAAATCTCCGAAACTCAAAATTAGTTGTATTTGTTTATTGGCTCGGACCAAATATAACATCCAAAACAAAGAAAAAAGTAATGAATAAGAATTATATTCAATTAACCAGCAATTGGAGCAGAAGTGGTGGATGTGACTTTCATGAAGCCTTCCTGTGTCAAACTGCGGATCCAGACATATTCATCAAGTAAAAATTGATTTAAATAAACAATTAGTAATAGTTAATTTATTACATTTGTAAACATGGTGGTTGGATGGATTCTAAGGGATGTGAAAGCCTTAAGAACTAGAAAAAAAAGGTATTTTTTGTGAAATCGACGCCATGTAGGCTTTTCGGTTTTCTCTGTTAGCGCAGAGACTCAATTATATTTCCTCTTGCTTTGGTTCGAGGATTTCTTGCCCCACAAAAAACCAACTGAATGTTTGCACTGTTGGATGTGAAAGCGTTATCGTTATTTATTTATGACCAGCAGTATTTAATTATAGACGCTGGGCTCGTCCGCCAATAGCTTTTTTGACATCTTTGCCGACGATAAATTCGGAACAATCAAAAAAGACTTAAGTGTTTTGATGTAATTACTTAACTAATGATAATGTTTTAAAATTACTGTAGGCCACCACTTGATCAACTTTTGGATGAAAACAGGGCGATATTGCTCTCTAACCCAAAATTAGAAGAAGAAAAATGTGAACTCTGCGCGCAGCTCTTTCCGCATTACAAAATTCAAGCCTTCAACATGGTGTGCAATGTGCCCAAGATAGAAATTTTCCAAGGTCCCTTAAAAGAGTACGTGGAAACGGCCTATGGCTTGTTAATAAACGAAACAGACGATGAAGCGGAGAGCCTTAACAATTTAGAACTCCACTGTTATAGATATGACGTAGAAGTGGATAAATCTGGCGTCACCGAAATAACAATAAGGGTATGATATGAAATTCTCGTATAGTCTCGCTTGTTATTAAATTAATGTCATTATTACCATTACTTAGTTTCTAACAGCGCTTTCCGAGGTGTGCATTTTTGGTATTTGCATACAAATTGCGCCCAATCCGAATGGTATAACTTCTTTAACCCCGAATACCGTTGGGATAATTAATGTTGAAAATGTGCAAACCATGCTTGCAAATAGTGCGCGAAAGACTACAGCACCTGCTGAGAAATATAAAAAATTTTTGGAGGCAATAATTAAATCGGGCAATAGTTCGGCAGCTAAAAGTTCGGCATTTGTTAATCACAACTTTAAAGCACTTAACCAACATGATGAGTCAGAAGACAGATTACGCCAAACAAATTTGAATAACGATAAAATTGAATTTGAAATGATCAGACATTTAATGGACCATATAGATCTGCGCTTCAAGGAATTTGAAAGCGTTATTCAGCAACGCATTAACGAGATCGAAGAACGACAATCCGTCAAGTTGGATAGAATCTTGAATATGCTTGAAAAGCAGCAGAAAAGCGATTAGTTTAACAAACTTAATGTTTGGACGTTTCTAACGTGAACGCGTTGCGTTTTGGAAAACAATTTGAAATATAATTTGTACACTTTTATTTTTATTTTCTAACTATAATATGAAAATTTATCTTGTAAAGTTATTTTTGCAATCAACTTTAGCTAACTTTCAATCAGAATCTGAATCGCTGTTGCTGTCGTCATTTGTACCTTGAGCATTTGGTGGATCATAAAAATGTAATTGCTTACGCCATATCTTTACTAAACCATCGAAAGCTCGGCGACTATATTTTCCATATTTGTCCGGTGTTTTAGGATGATCGCGCGTGCGTTCCAATCTAAGAGAATACGATATATTATTTTTCTTCCCCTTAAAAGTAAAATTCTCTTACAAATCAAGAAAAAATGGGAAACTTCACAGAAACAAAAACCCTTGATTTAAGAAAAATTTTCATGGAATATTAAGGAGTTGTTCGCACAACTTGCTATTAATTATTATCTTAAATTTGTTCCTCGATGCAAACTCTGTTCTGTCATGTGAGAAGCTATTGTTGTTGAGAACTTAAGAAGTTCATATAATAATTTAAATGAAGTTCGTAAGGATTTTAAGTGATAAGCGAATTTGCCAAAAAATCAATAATAATAACCTGTGCTAAGCATGTTCTTCGGTTATTTATTAAGTGTTTGCTAAAACTTTCATCGTCGGACGGTTTATTTAGCTGATAATAAGAGATTGTTTCAGAAGGAAATGGCATAAATATTATGGATATATCGGCAGGACAGTTAGGCTAAATATTGCTAATGAATTCTCTAAAGCAATGCAATTTTCTGTTAGACTGTACTGTACCTGGGTACAAGTTGAATATAACGTTCATAAGCTTCTGTATTTTTGCCATAATCAATTTGTTTTTGACGTCTGGACAAAATCGCAGTATCGGTTTCGGTCTTAGTTTCTGCGCAACTGTTACGACGTGAACGTTTCTCTGATCTTAGATGATGTCTTTCGTTACAACTACCATTGCTGTCACTGTTTGGACTGTTCGGGCTACTGGAGCGATCTTCACGTGGGCGGCGTCTTTTAAACGGAATTTTTAGTTTGTCCTCTTGAATATGGCGCTCAAACTTCTCTTCATTGGCGTCATCAAGAAACTTAAAAGATAGATTGCGTTGCTTATCATTCGCATCATATGCATTATTAGACTGAAAATATTCCTTTAAAGTGCGTTTAATTGCTTCGTAGAATTTATTCTTCTAATAAAACTTACGCATTCTTCACTTAATTTTGCCCAAGAATCGTGTTTCTTTGATACTGTGTTCTCAGCAGACATTTTTCATTTTATACTATTGTTAATACTTAGGACTAACACACATAAAGTCACTCGCTTAAGAGACCGCGCAAGTATTTGACGCATAAAAATCGCGCACCTCTAGCTTACCATATCGTTTGAATATGTAAATGCAAAGAAGCGACCTCTTTCGATTTCAATGAACACACAAAACGTTAGAAGGCAGAAGGCATTTCAATTAAGGTCAACAGAATAACAGTAGAATGAAGCAATAATACAAAACAATACATAATTACAATAATAACATAATAACATATTATACAGCATAGTAAATAGCATTTTCCCCGAACATAAACGTATTGACTCATAGTCTTTTCCAACATGACACGGGGAAATCGAATGTTATCGACGTATCCTATATCTTTTGAGAAGAAGAAGAAGGTAAATGTAAATAAAGAAAACAGTGAAAATAACAGAATTAATATAAACACAAATGGAGCAATTGTTTGCAATTAATTTTCCAAAAAAAATCGGAAGTTATGCTTTCAAAAATGTAAGACATTTCAATGCGTATTCACTGCTTGATAGAAATAATATTAATTGCAAAGGATTGGCTGTGACAATTGACTTGTATTTAGCCTTTGCCCGCTAAATTGTTACGTTCTTTCGTTTGTCCAGCCACGTAGTTTTATACTCCTGTTCGATAATAGCTTTTACTTCTAATAAAAATTTGTTCTGTTTCATTCGCCCTTGTCGCAAAGCCAAACTTCATAAAATGTTGCTTCAATAATAGTAAATAAATAGCATGTTATTTATGTATAATCTCGTGACTTTTATTATTTGATGCGTCCGAACATAAACGTATTGACTCATAGTCTTTTCCAACATGACACGGGGAAATCGAATGTTATCGACGTATCCTATATCTTTTAAGAAGAAGAAGAAGGTAAATGTAAATAAAGAAAACAGTGAAAATAACAGAATTAATATAAACACAAATGGAGCAATTATTTGCAATTAATTTTCCAAAAAAAATCGGAAGTTATGCTTTCAAAAATGTAAGACATTTCAATGCGTATTCACTGCTTGATAGAAATAATATTAATTGCAAAGGATTGGCTGTGACAATTGACTTGTATTTAGCCTTTGCCCGCTAAATTGTTACGTTCTTTCGTTTGTCCAGCCACGTAGTTTTATACTCCTGTTCGATAATAGCTTTTACTTCTAATAAAAATTTGTTCTGTTTCATTCGCCCTTGTCGCAAAGCCAAACTTCATAAAATGTTGCTTCAATAATAGTAAATAAATAGCATGTTATTTATGTATAATCTCGTGACTTTTATTATTTGATGCGTCTGGCGAAAAAATTGAAGAACCTTTTTGTGTTCCACAGAAAGTCAACGCCAGCTAGGCAGCTTTCAAAATACTAAACAATTTTGGGACATTTTCTATATAATTGATAATTTTGAATGGTTTTTTTAAAAGGTAGATAGATATGTGTGGCTATCTCCGAATTCATATAATTTAAAAAAAGAGATTTTATATCGCGTTTTATTGAAATTTAACTTTTAGAGTTAGAATAATGATTACTGAAAATTACCGGCTAACACATTTCTAGTCTTCAGTGTATTCGAAAGGCTCTGGAGGTTCAGGTTCTTTTAGATCATCATTCTTAGGTCCGTACGCTGCCACAGGTTCCACTAACTCTTGATCAGTTTTACCTGTGTGTTGCATTACAATAATGCCTCCGATGGTGACATCTTTTAGAGGCATGTAAGTTTGATTTTCAGCCACACTTATGACTTTTAATTGCTGTCGCACGACTCTAGCCGGATTTTGCAATATTTCAAAATTCGGTTCAGGCTCCTTTTTATCCTTTTTGTCTTTGTCAGCGGTAGAGTCTTTATCCTCTTCTTGTTTTTTATCGTCTTTTTTCTTTTTCTCATCAACCTTTTCATCAGTTTTCGACTTGTCTTCGTCCTTCTTCGCTGTCGCAGTCGATTCCTTATTATCTTCATCCACTTCCATTTTTTCATCCTCTTTCTTGTCTGCCGTCTCGCGACGTTTTTGACGTGCTGCGATCGAGAGCACAGCAGTTGCTACCTTTTCTCTCTCTTCTGATTTCTTTTCTTCCAAAGGAGCCGGGTAAGCATATAACGAAGGCTTTGCGGCTGATTTAAATTCCATTTTTGGCATTTTAAGGTCAGAGTTAAGAGCAATGATGCATGTCGGTGTAAAAGCCAAAGATAGAGCATGAGCCAGGGGAAACCAATACCAGTATTGTGTGAACACCAACATACCGACTACTGCTTGGAGATTAGTATGGCCTGTGCGCGATTGCAAAGATAAAGTACAATTACGTCCACCAGCATCGATTATGCCTTGAGCTAAAATAGCGCCATATTTTGCCATTACATCCTCGTGCTTGTTTATGATTACCTCGGCATATAATTGACGGAAGAAGCTAGTCTTAGCGCAGGTTTGATCTGTATGTTGTATTAATATCATGGCCGACGCTATCAACGCGCCTTGACGGACAAAGTTAACCGGATCAAATTTGACCATAGGTTCTAGCAGGGCGATTGCTTCGCGCAAACCCGTGCCAGCACATGCGATACCCAAAGCCATGGCAGCACCGTAACGTACATGAGGATTGTACGATTCTGCTAACAAACTGACCACCGATGGACATTGCTCAGGAGTACGAAATAAAATAAAACCGATTGCTGTAACGGCAGCACGTCGCACATCGTCGTTCACATCGGAAACAGCGACATGAAGTAGTTTTCGGATCGCTTTATTGCTCCCGGTACCATTATAAGCCATAGCAATTGTATACATTCCAGACCGACGTAAAACTGGATCTTTGTCCGTAGAAAGGCTGGTAACTAAGGGATCCGATTCCTCTAAACGTGCAAACATGGTTAAAGAAATGCCTACAGCTAGGCCACGTAAAATTTTTTCGTGTTGAGTTTCTTGTGCATAAGACACCATATCTTCAATTGCTTGGGCATTTTTTGAGCCCAACATGACCATTCCCATAGCTATGCCAGCAGCTTCACCCGTAACAGCGTCGTCTTGATAAAGATTGAATTTCAATTGCTCATATAAATCTTGACGATGTGTACCCATGGCAGCCAAGCCTAGCCCCAAACAACCGCCATGGCGTACGTTCTCATTTTGAGCATCCTTCAGCTGTTGGAGAAGGTAATCGATTATATTAGCTCCATGATTGGCATGTATTAATCCCAAGGCATATAAGCCACCGCCCTCGGAATAACCAGAACTAGGGCCGGTCTCCTTAGGTAGGTAACTTTGCATCAACGCTAAGGAATCCTTTTCATGGCCACGATGTATGACACCTAAAGAAGCAGTGGCTGTCAATTTAGCCCAATTGGTAGCGCGAGCCAACCAATCCAAGTTATCTCGTAGGAATTGATCAGATGTAGTACCGCTGTGCATGAAGCCATTGGCAATGACTGTTGCTGTATGACATATTGAAACCCTTACGGCCTCTTTAGTACTGCGCAGAATTTGCAAATCAGCGTGATTGCTGCGTATGAGGAATTGTAACTGCAAATCGATCGTCACTTCGCCGGCAAGAATGGAAATAAGTTTTTCGATATTTTTTTGATGAGCTTTTTCTGAATCATTTAAAGACTCTACAGAGCGCTCTATTTTTACATCACCTATTTCACACCACATAAAAGAATAAAGATAACAAGTTTCGAATATGTATTGGGCAGAAACTAACCTTCGGCGTCTACAGTTTTAGCATTTTCCGCTTCTTTAGCTTTCTCCTCGTCTGTCTTTGAAGAGGGCGCATTGGTACCTTGAGGTTTAAAGGTACTGGGCAAAGCTGTAGGTATAGGAGCAGTTTCCTTCAGAGCTTGCAAAACGTTACCTAGAAATTCTTGGGTGGCCGATTCGTACAAATCAAAGGCAATCTGATAGGCCATTAAATTACTAGCATCTTGAGTTGATCTAGTAAGTTTGTCCAAAACTTCTGCTACTGCCAAAGGATCTTCCAGGAAAATCAGACATTGGCACATATTTACATAATCTGGTACGCCCAAGTCACGATACAGGCCAACTAAGCAACGCAGAACCTCATTACGAAATCCTCGATTTTGAATTAAAGACATTGTCACGTTGTAAGCATATGCCAGCATACCAGCAACGTCATCTGATTTCATAATAGATTTTTCAAAAATATCCATGCGACGAGTCTCCAGGGCGATACCTAAAGCCTGACGATATTGGCCATCTTCTAAGCAACGCTGAATCATACGATTAACAATGCCTTCTAATCGAGAATCAACCGGTTTTGCATCCTTGGGATTTTCAATAGCAGCCACACGCTGGGCTATATAAAAATCGATGCATTTGGCTATAATAGTCTCCGTATATTCATTACGAGCATTAACATCAAAGAGTTCTCCTGCACCCAAAGCGTAAGTCAAGGCGTCCTCAAACGAACCCAAATGGTAAAAAACTTTTGAAGCCACCATCCCAGCCAATTTATGTTCAGGAAATGTGCGATCTTCATGTAACATCTCGATCTTCTCAATAGATTCAGATATTTCCGGCCAAAACTCATCAACGATATGGTCCAGCTTCTTTAGAGCAAATACTTTCAAATCGGACATTGGCTCATCGAGCAACGATATAATACCTCCCGCAGAAGTTAAACTCATTTTTGCTCTTAAACCACTCCCCTTTGAAGGCAAAAAAGGCTTAGTGACAAACAAATTTAAAAAAAAATATATCAAACTAACCTTAATTTATATGAACACTAAATGAAATGAAAGTTTCTCCGATAAATAAAAGCTAAATGGGATAAATCTCAACTGCTTTTGCACTGAGTTACGTAGAAGTATTTAATTAAAATATATATATTTTATTTTAAGACAAAATTAGTTGGCGAGAAAAACTGCAAATCACTCGAATTGTTGGGCAAACACCTGTGTTGCCATTTGGAGAAATTTGCCTGATTGCCGCTATTTGATAGATGAGAAACAATAGAGCCTAAACAAAAAAATGAACCGCGCTCTTTTCCAGGTTTGGGAATATAAGTTCAATATAGGGTAAGCAACATAACGGAACATTACGAAGACTCGGCATTAAAAATTACAATTTCATTTACAATTATCATAGATTAGAAAATAGGGTAAAGAATTATCATTTATTAGAAAATAGGGTAAAGAATTATCATTTATTAGAAAATAGGGTAAAGAATTATCACTTAGCCCACCTCAACATTTTGTAGGGGCTTGTTTTTTTGGAGCCATTTCTTGATCTTTTCACGAAAATCATTGGCTTGTTCGGCAAACGGCGTTCTTGTCTCCGCCACTGAAGAAGCGTTATGGCAATCTACTGCCTACTAGGAAAAGTATTTTATGAGAACTAAAATTGATTTAATTGAAATAATGCGTTAGTCCTCCTCCTTAAGCAAGTAACTTGTTGCCAGTTGAAGGAATTTGTTTAAGGTAAGTGCGCCTGGTCAAAAGTAGGAGATGTTAAGAAAAACTCGTGAATTAACATTGAACGGTCTCCTATGTCCCTTTCACTTCAATATCGGCAAACTGTAGAGAAATCTTGAACAAATTATAGGTCATTGTTTGAATCCGACAAGAATCAGATCTACAAAACGCGTACAGTTTGCTGCAGTGCTTATGCCATTTACCCAAAATAATTGTTTGATGGCAATGTGGGAGAACATTTGTAATTGCATAGTAGTTGTGGTAATTGTGAGATTTTTCTATGCAAATGAAAATCTAAGGGCAGTTTAGTCAAAGCTAGCTGTTATCGTAAAATTTTACTCGCTGCGAGAGAATTACTCCGCAGCATTAGAGGATTGCTTGCCGCTGTTATTGAAACAGTTTGATTTGCTCTGAGAGAAAGAAGAGAGAAACATCAATATATATATCTACACGTTTTCTTGAATTTTTTCAGTCGCGTTCTTGAAAAAAACCATTTCTTGATGGAATTCACGGAATCTATTAATCAAGACGAAGCATTTGGTCTAAGCACATTGTAACATTGTAGCAACGTGAATAAAGAAACATCAATTATATTAAAAATATTCAATTTATTATTAAAACGTCTGTAACGCAGCTGTGGCGATCAACTTATTATTAATTTAATTGTCATTGTAATCAATAAATAAAAGCGAAACAAACAGTTGAACGTTAAACCAACAAATTTTATAAGAAATAAAAGCGATTTGATTAAAAGTGTGTCTGTTAATTTGGTTTAAATTAGGGAATTATTAAAAATTAATTTTGTGATATCAATTAAATTAAATTTTTATAAATAAATTTAATTAATCCCACTTTCCCTTTAAATGATTATGAAGTTAATCGAATATTTGTAAAAATAACTGTAACTCCTGAAGAATAAAAATTTACTATGAATAGAACTCGGAAAAAAATTACTCGTCCGCAAAATCCCTACTCAACTGCAAATTTTTTCTCACGCTGGAGTTTTTGGTAAGTGACACATATGCACATATAATATATATGAAGAGAGAAGGAAAGGGTTTAAATGAGAGCGCGTAGGACGGTCTTTTGAGTCAATGCTGAAATGTTGCAAAAAGTGCACTGATAAACTAAATCACTCAATTATATTTCTCACGTGCAAATGATTGTTTTTGATTGATTTCCGTTTCATCTTATCCTATCTTCAACATAAGATTGCAGCGTTTCGCATAGCATAAATAAACATTAATCTTTAATATCAAGTAAGCATTATGTGTGCATATTGTGCAGGCGATTAAATTTAATTTTTTCGTAAAAACTTTCTGGCTTCCAAGTTTCATAAGCTCTTATTATATTTTGAATCTACGTTTATAAATCAAAAACCAAATATTTATCATATATTTTAACTTATTGCAAAATTTCAAATAATTGTTTCATGTCTGCCGAAAGGATCTCTCTTGAAAATTTACAGTTATAGGCATATATGAATTTTATTAATTTACTCCCTTTCATGTGGCTAGATTGTCGTGATGTATTCATCAGTAAATTAGATGATAAAGAGTACCTTTTAAAAAAAAGGACATTATAAGGCATTCTCAATCCATTCTCAATCTGTTCATATATCTATTCTCGGCGGTAGAAAACTGAAACCTCGCATATATCATATGTGCTTAGCTAACAGTCATAAATCATATTTGAAAATAGGGATTATCTGCGCTCGATGCAGCGCGTAGCAGCTGTAAAACTGTAACATATAATGTATTGGATGAACCATTGCAGCAAAAATTCACTATGCACTTTAAAACTTGCTATAATTATTTCTTAGCGTTATTTAGAAAATTTCCTATCGGCCCAGTGACACGTCCGTAATTAAAAAATATCTTTATGTGTTGTGTGGTGTGAGGTGATGGAGATGAAACTTTCATCCCGAGGCAAATATACTTTTTCTGACTCATTTTATTTATGTGATGTCTTCTTCTTCTGTGCTTATATTTAAACATTATAAGTCTTTATCTTTTAACCGTCAATGCATTAGTCGAAAGCACATGCTTTGTTACTGTTGTTGCTAGAGAAATTAATTAATTTCGCAACTCTTCTGGTTTTATTGTGAATTAAACGAGCTGCGACAGAAGTTAAACACGAATCGTTAGACACCCATCCATCAATTGCATTGCAATCTAAAAATCTAATTTCTAAAGGACGAGTAGAGAGAGTATCTAAGAAATTTTCGGTGTATTTGGCTAAAGCTTAGATATTTCCAAGCAGAAGCGACCGACTAAGAGTCAAGAAAGCCTACACTCATCTTCATATGGATTCAAACGAGGGGGGAAAAGTTTGTTTTCCGAGGGACCATAGTAGCATAAAACCTCAAACCACCTTTTGTGGAAATCGGTTTTTTCTGAAATTTCTAAAAATTTACAGTTTTTCTTGTTTTATCCATAATGTCAACCTTGCAGTATAGGTCTTTTCATAGTCTCTTGTCCATTTCAGTCTTGTTCACTTCTTGAATTAAAAGTAAGAGTAACTTTAACAAGATATAAACCATCCCTCGTATATGTTGCATAGAAGAAATATGGGGACGAGGAATGGGTAAAGAAGCGGCCGTAACCAGATCGATTTTCTGAAGCATGCAATTAGAGTTTACAAAGCGATTAACAAAGTTAGCATATTTTCCGATCGCGAAGGAAGCTGTAGTAAATGAACGCTCGCTGTTAGTCATATGTAAAGTGAGAGTGAATTTTCAGGGCCATATATAACTAACGGAAATTATTGCTTCCCCCTTTAATCGTAAAGATATCGAATTCTTGCTATTTTGATAACATATCGCGCATATATTCCCCTTTATTCAACTTTATTTCAAAATCAATAAATAAATATACAAAATACCAGTGCTTTTCGTCGACATAAATAACTGTTTTCAATAGATTTGGCACACTTTCCATATCCATCAAAGACGGTATAATATGTTTGTTAGATGCTTACGTACCCCACATGTAAATGTGATTTTATATGCATACAAATATCATATATTGTGGGTTTGGCATAAATTGAGAATTATAGCTCCTTGGCACTATGATCACTTATGGTCAGCCAATAACAGAGTTAAGTCCACTTTTCTGCTTTCTATTACAGCCGATGGATTGCGAGGCGTGTGACAGAAAGACAGTCGCGGGGTATGATAGACATTAACTGACTGATAGACGTTGACTGATATATATGCATCTAAGAATATATGTAAATCTTTAAACGATCTCTGATGCATATTTCTGGATGTTGTTTAGTGTATGTGTATGTGCACAGTACTCCCTTAGCTTATTTTCTAGATTAAGCTTAATTTTGCAGATTCATATAACATATGACATTTGACTCGAACTATTAAGAGGAATTTCTCCAAGATATATATACAATCGCAGTTAAAGAATTTATCCTATTTTTTTCTATGAAATGATTGCCTATTTATTGTATATTTCATTAGATTATTCTATTATAAGCAAATTGTTTATTTATAAAAATACATAACAGTCGCGACTGGTTTTCATGATTCAGTCAAGTGAGATTAATAACTTATAGCAAACCGGGGTAGTAGTTGACAATAGTTTAATAAAAAACTATAATTTCTCTTCGACTATTAGTATTAAATTTCTTTAGTGTTGCTTTTGTTCTGGATTGTTCTAGCATAGAGAGCATAATTTCAGCGACATTAATGTAAGACGGACAGACATTTAATGTCTAAGCTTTTATTTAATGGAGAGGTGATGATCACCGGCTACGAATAAAGTTTAGATTTTATAGTGGCAGGCTGATGTTTGATAACATTCGCAAATATGCCAGAGTGTAGACTTTTTTGATCAGTCCCAGGCACTAGCATACTTTATCTCCGCGTCCGTATCCATGTTGAAGTACTTACGTAATTAAAAGTTGAAATTTGTCAGTTGTACTATATATAGTTGCTAGGCGTAGATTAAATTTGATTTCCCCATGAATGTGTTCACAGTAAGCAAAAAAGGGTAATTTGGGGCCTGAAGAAGATACTGATTTGGAACTTGTCACAAGGGCTATCTTAAAGGTCAACTTTACGTTTTCTTCCGATCGGCCGACTAGTATGCGTATTGTTAGCCCCATATATAACTCAATTTGTAAACATATTCAGAGCGTTTGTAATTTGCGGAAAACTAGACGTAAGACCTTCGCCACCATCGCAAGATTCACGATCGCTTTATGTCAATACTTGTGCCTGTAAGTCTATTGGACCAGACTTCTTCTTTTTTATCTGACGGCGCTTGATGGAAAATGTTTGAATAGCTTAGCATATCTAACACAGTGTGTTCACAAAAAAGAAAAAAAAAAAACAATTTTTTAAACGTGCGTGTGCGTGTGCATTAGATGTTTATATAGCCTCTTTTTGTGTGGCTGATACAACTGTAATTAACGTTTGGCAATAGCTACAAGTCAGTCCGAAATCGTTGTTGCAAACCGCTATCCGACGACTATTTAGTTAAGATGATTATTTTATTTATTTATTTTTTTTTGCTATATATAATGTAATAAGAGGATCGCCCGCTATTAGAGCGGCATTTGCGAGCTAATATTTCTCAGTTGGTAAATAACAAAAAAAGAGGAGAAGCCTCTTCATGCGGCTCCCATGCAATATAAAATATAAAAGAATCCTTTATGCAGACCGTGTTCATCAAACTTGCCCTTATCTCGGTTACATAATATTTGTGAAAATATTTACAGATTTGTAACAATGTATCTAAATCTTTTATTGCATTGTTGATAGGTGGATGAATGCCCTTTTCCGAAGAGGTCTAAAAGGTCCATTGCTAGACGAAGATTTATATCAGCATTGTAATGACTTGGACAGTGAACGCTGCACAGATACATTTAGTAAATTATGGGATGAGGAAAGGAGACGCGATAAACCAAGCATCTTACGTATGATAATGGCGGCCCACGGAAAAACTTTCATACCTTTAGGAATATTATACTCAATGTGTGAGTCTTTAAGCAAGTGGGTTTTATTTTATCATATTTTTGAGTGAAGAGCTATAATAACATATTGCTTTACTTATTATTTTGGTATACAGATGCTTACAGCCGCTCTTTTTGGGAGGTTTCGTTGGTTATTTCGTTAGCGGCCAAGAAACAATTAGTGAACAAGACGTTTATCTGCTGGCGATTGGCATCGTATTGTGTTCGGCAGTACCTGTATTAACATTTCATCCCTTCATATTTTATATTTTTCAAGTTGGTACAAAAATACGTTTAGCTCTCTCAGGATTAATTTATCGCAAATGCCTGCGTATGTCGAGAAACACAAGTAATGACGGCTTGCGGGGTCGTGCCATTAACCTATTGTCAAACGATTTAGGTCGCTTCGATATTGCTTTAGGTTTTCTACACGATATCTGGAAAGGACCGACGGAATCTTTAATAATCGGTTATTTAATGTTTCAAGAGATCGGGATATCGGCCGTGATAGGTGTTACGTTCATGCTTAGTTTTATACCATTGCAAGCGTGGGCAGCAAAAAAAGCCGCCTATTATCGGCAGAAAACTGCCGAACGAACGGACTTGCGAGTTAAACTAATGAACGAAATTATTCAAGGCATTCAAGTAATCAAAATGTACGCCTGGGAAAAGTCTTTCGCTAAGGTGATAGCAGATGTACGAATGAAAGAAGTTCAGGCCATACGTGGAACTTCGTTTATTTATGCGGCTTTGGCTTGCACTTCAATGATTTCTCCATTGTCGATATTTTTGGCTTTGGTATCATACATCTATTTGGGGGATGCTTTAACAGCTAAACGAGTTTATACTGTGTCATCTTATTTTAGCATGCTTAACGATTCAATGGTGCACTTTTGGCCACTCTCGATAACATTTATAGCTGAAGCTTGCGTTTCAGCTAAGCGTTGCGCACAATTTCTGTTAGATGGCGAACAAGAACCAATCGACGATAAAAAGAAGAATGGCATCAAGAATAAACATTTAAAGAACAAAAGAAATCAGCATAAAGATATAAAACCTATAAAAAAGCCTAAAGAAAATAATAGTGACATTAATTTCCTGGTCGAGCCGGTATTTACAAGTCCGGCAAGCGTTAGACGTCAGCAGAACATAAATGCATCGAATAAAAGCGTTATATTACGAAATGTCACAGCAACATGGGAATCGGAATCTGACGTTGCAAGTACTCAGAGAGCGATGGCTATCAACGATTTTAACATTACAATTAAGGATAAGACACTAGCTGCTGTGGTGGGATCAGTAGGTGCTGGTAAATCTACTTTGTTAAATGTCTTGTTGGGCGAAATTAATGCAGATTCTGGTGAAGTGTTGGTAAACGGTAAAATATCCTATTGCTCCCAAGAGCCATGGGTATTTGAAGGCACTATTCGCGATAACGTGGTCTTCGTAGAGGAGTTCAACGACAGACGTTATCGGCGTGTTTTGAGAGCGTGCGACTTGGAGCGAGACCTTGAGCTACTACCGCGGGGGGACCTAACTGTAGTAGGCGAACGAGGAGTTAGTTTAAGCGGCGGACAAAAGGCACGCATTAATCTGGCCAGAGCTATATATCGCAAAGCTGATATTTATCTTCTGGATGATCCGCTGTCGGCGGTAGATTCGCAAGTGGGAAGGCATATATTTCAGAGCTGTATTAACAATTTTCTGGCGGGCAAAATTCGTATATTAGTTACTCATCAATTGCAGTACTTAAACAATATTGAGCACCTCATTTTAATAGCTGCCGGTAGCGTTATTGCTCAGGGAAGTTACCAGGAGTTGCAAAAGTCGAATCAATTTCAATTTTTGGCTCAAACGATTGACGAAAGTGGTTTTGATAAAGTAATTAAAGATGAATTGAGTAGCCTCAGCCAGATGTCACGTAGCGACTCGGAAAGGAGCTTAGAACACAATCATTTACTGCATCCAGGGGAGAAATCGGTGGAAGACTTAAACAAAGAAAGCCAAGCAGTGGGTGCAGTGAAGTTGGATGTATATCTATCTTACTTTCGCGCTTTGGAAAATATGTTCGTTCTTCTTCTTATAGTCGCCCTCTTCATATGCGCCCGCGTTATGTTGACGGGGGTGGATTACTTTTTGTCTAGATGGTAATTATGAAATACGCGGCCCACGGCCGGCATATTATAGTCTAGTAAGAGGAGATTTTCATTTTAGGGTTATTTGGGAAGAAAATGTAGGAATCGCAGTCACAAATACTTCAACAAATTTTACTAACTACGATGCACATAATATAACTGAGAGCTATAATAGTTATGACGGAGAAGTAGCGATAGAACGTCAACAACGTATCGTGATATATTCGTCGTTATTAGGAAGCACTTTGATTGTGTATTTGGTGAGAACGTTTGGCTTTTTTTCTATGTGCCTTAGAATTTCTTTGAAGCTACATGATCGCCTCTTTCGTGGCATTACAAGCACCAGTATGTTATTCTTTAACACTACTTCATCGGGACGAATTCTAAATCGTTTCTCCAAAGATATACGCACCGTGGACGCCGATCTACCTCATACATTGATAGATTGTCTGTCAGTAAGTGCTTTTAAACTAAAAATATCGCTTATCGAATATATTTTATTATGTTTTCTTCTTCTCAGTTTTTCATTGACGTCACGGGTGTTCTAATCACCGTAGCTATTGCCAATTACTGGCTGTTAATTCCAGCGATTGTTATAGTTTTATGCTTAATGGTGGTGCGCTATCTTTATGTGTGTACTAGTCGTAGTGTTAAACGCTTGGAGTCAATTTGTGCGTTGCATTTTTTAATTTAACTTAAACTTTACTTATTATATGTTCTGTTTGCATTTAATTTCCAGCACGTAGCCCCGTTTACTCGTTAACCAATCAGACTTTTCAAGGCTTAACCACTATAAGGGCTCTGGAAGCTGAGAAGGTTCTAGAGAACGAATTTCATGGGTATCAAAATTCGAATACATCAGCTTGGTTTTTATTTCTCTCCAGCAACCGTGCTTTTGCATTATGGACTGACGTCATTTCCGTTATATACATTGGTTTAGTTACTCTAAGCTTCTTGGTATTGCCAACAAATTTCAACAGTGGCGATGTGGGTTTGGCCATTCTACAATCGACAACGATGATTGGTATGTGCCAGTGGGGAATGCGTCAGACCGCTGACCTTGAAAATCAAATGACTAGTGTAGAGCGAATCTGGGAGTACACTGAGCAGCCGCCTGAAACATCAAGTAAAACGATAAAAATCTTAAAAGCGGAAATGGGTTGGCCTAACGAAGGACGCATAGACTTCTTAAATTTTAATTTGAAATACAATCCTGATGACATATATATACTGAAGGATCTGAATTTCACTATAGAGCCCAATGAGAAAATCGGTATTGTTGGTCGAACCGGAGCTGGTAAATCTTCTATCATACAGTCGCTGTTCCGTTTGGCCTACAATGAAGGTACGATTCTTATCGATGGTGTCGATATTGAGATGTTAGATCTGTACGATTTGCGTAGCAAAATTTCAATAATACCTCAGGATCCGGTTTTATTTTCGGGAACATTGCGTTACAATCTGGATCCTTTAGATCAACGCCAAGACGAAGATATGTGGAAAGCCCTTGAAGATGTAGAATTAAGATCTTACGTCTCAACACTAATCGGAGGTTTGGACTGCCGTATATATGACGGTGGAGCCAACTTCAGTGTAGGCCAACGACAATTGGTCTGTTTGGCTCGCGCTATTCTCAGGCAAAATAGAATACTTATACTTGATGAAGCTACAGCCAATGTGGATCCAGAGTAAGTGAGAGAATATTAAAAGACGCGTAAGCAAATTGAAGAAATATTTTTTCTTTTTCATTTCCCAATAGAACCGATAAGCTTATACAAAGGTCTATACGTTCGAAGTTTGCCAAATGTACGGTGCTTACAATTGCGCATCGCTTACACACAGTGATGGACAGCGATCGCGTTTTGGTTATGGATGCCGGCAAGGCAGTCGAATTAGATCATCCCTTTGTATTGCTGCAGCGATCGAATGGTTTTCTATATCAACTAGTTGATCAGACAGGCATAACCACTGCCACAGCACTATTAAAAGATGCCGAGAAAAATTACAAAAAGAAACCGACCAGTATCGCTTAACGCGCGAAACAACAATTAAAATGTGATGTTTGAATTAGCTCAACTAATCGTATTACCCGTTATCGTTATAAAAATCTCTTTTCCCTTATATTTTTTTTTTTTTTTTTTTTTTTTTTTTTTGCCGTCGGAACGTAAATCTCATCTCATCGTTCTCAACTAATATAAGATATAAGAATATGTAATGAGTTTGAAAATGAGCGCATAATCACTGCATTATTTTCCAAAAACTAATTACAAGTTACCTAAATGTGTTCTTGCGTACTTATCGAAGCCTTTATTACTTTATTTACTTAGGTGAACGCATCAAAAGACTTAGGTAGAATGAATTCATCATAAGACCTCATATAAATACTTAAGTTGATTAAATATTATAAAACTTAATTTTTTCATAAGTATTCTTAGCCAAATTTAAAAATAGTTGTACAATCTCAAAGTGATATCCGTGATAAGTAAATAATAGCCGAGTGATATTTATTTATACATACATACGTAAATTTGTATTGCAGTCGATATGACATTACTAATAATAGTATTCAATAGTAAGCAAAAAGTGCCTAAAATTAAGCATCTAAAGCAATATTTTCGGAGAAACCAACAACTAAATAAAAATTAAATAAAGAAAATATATCCATTCATTATAAAGAATTGTATGTATATATATATGTATATAGTGTGTCTCTAGTAACAGATGGAAGGTATAAAAATACAATGTCATCAAATATGCTGAGAAAAAGACTGCGGAAATTTTTTACCTTCAACTAAATACTCGCCATTTGTACTACAATCTCGATAATTGCTTACGCCTTCAACTCTTATTAAGAACACTGGAATGAAAACGAGAATTGGTTTTCTTAAAAAGACGTAAGAATCCCAAAAAAACAGTGGTATATGAACAAACATAAAACTGCTTCAGGTAGGGAGTATTCATAATAGGCGAGGAAGCGAGAATGATGCATTAAAAAACAAATTGGATTTATTCATGTTGTCCCATTGCTTAAATGCACTGGAAATGAGTTTAAGTCGCAGACAACGCGCCTGTACTAAAGCTTCGATAAATGTATGAGAGTGTGTAAAACAAGGTCTGGTCTATTCAGCTGGAAATATTTTTCGTAAAAGGCCACCACCGAAATCGCATTATATTTATTGATGATGGTTCAACAGACTTCCAAGTAGGTGGTGCTTTGTACGATCGATCGTAAGCAAAACCAGTTTTCAATAGATTGACATAACTCGTTGGGTGACAGGGTATATGCAGGTTATTCTTTTGCAAAGAAAGACATGCTGAAAGCGATGTAGGCTGAATGATCTCATCCCAATAGTGTGATAGAATTTTCTCATGGTTTGGCAATGATATGCTTAGGCATTATACTACTTCTATCTATCTTTTTGCTGACACAATCGCAAATTTTCGAGATCTTTTCTTAAAATTTGTTATAGGGCGAACCCTATTATAAAATGGATTGAATCGGGTTAACCCTCCCCATATAAGGTCCGCTATTCGTGACTGTCAGAAAGAAAAGAGTGGCTAAGTGTTATATCTTTACCGACTGACAATTCGCTATAGCTACGACCAAAAAAAAAAAAAAAAAAAATGATAAAAATTTGAAAAAATATTTCGATTTTTAATAATTCTCGACAAAAATCGAAACTTTAACTTTAATAGAATGAAAAGTACTTGACTAATGTATGACCTTTGGACTCGTAAAGTCAATTTTCTCGGAACTTTGTGGCAGCGACAAGTGACCCTTGGGGAAACTAATCTAGTTTGTTTTACTAAAAAAGAAGTACGTTCGCTATTTCTTTGAAAAAGTGCTCCAAAATTGAACTGATCCGTCGATTTCTCATAAAAAAGACGAATTTTTTTTGAAATCGATTTTTATGAAAAAGATCTTGTCGTGCGAACACAAAGCTTGACTTTTTTCGAAACGCAAAAATTTCGCAATTGGATTTTATTTAAACTTACCAGCGAAGTACTGAAATGAGTTAAGACATTCACTCATATAGGAAGCGCGCGCTTGAAAAGTGAAACCCAATTATCATTTTTTTTTTTTTTTTTCGTTTTTTCCTTTAATTTTATAAAGTATAGTATTATAGTTTATTATAATAAAATGATTACGAATTCTTATTTTGTCGGCTTATAATTGAGATTATTTTGTGTGTTAATTAATTAAGTTTTCCTTTTTGCTTTTTCTTTATATTTATTTATTTATTTATTCTATTTTTCTTTGCTTTTCTGTTGATACGGATTTTATATTGAAAATTTGAAATATAAATATTGTTTGCTATATTATGGCTTATTCGTTTGTGGTTATATGTGTATGTGTGTATGTTAATTATATTGAGAAAAAGTTGATGTGAAAGTTAAGGTAAATCTTGCATTATATTTCCGTAATTAGAGAGGTAATACGATGACGAAGTTTTTATGTTTTCGTTTTTGTTTTCATTTTTGCTTTCGGTTTTTTTTTTTTTTTTTTTTTTTTTTTGTAACGAAAGTAAAGAGATGTGAAGATGTAAATTTGTAGTAATTAGAGGTAAATCTAGAGATGTTTGTCTTCATCCGCTATGATGAGTATGCATTTAGTAATAAATTATTGATCGAACGTATTTAAACTGAAGCTCTTAAGCAAGTGTTTCACTTATATATATATATATATATATGTATATATATGTATTTATATATATGGATATATAGGTATATTTAAATGTAAATATATATATATATATATATAGCGTTATTTATTTACTTTTTCTTTTATTTGTTAATTTGTTTTCGCAATGCTGAGATATATGTAAAAAAGTTTATGTCGTGATTGTTGTTTTTGTATGCTTATAGAAGGAATTCGACTTACAATATAGGAAATACAAAAATATATGAATAATTATATATACACATATATACATATATATATATATATATGTATATATACGTGGGTGTATATGTGTAAATTTGATTTGAAGTAAAGCGATTATTTCTTTAGCTAAATATTTGTGTTTTTGTTGTTATTGTTGTTAATGTTCTCCTTTCTTTTTCCTTTTCCTTTTGCTCTTTCTTTTTGTTTTTAATATTTAAAATACATGACTAAAGTTAAAAACGCCTTTAATAAATACTAAAGCACTAAATATTATTATGTTGTAAATATCCTTTGTGAAGAACATTATTTTTATTTTTCGTGAATGCTCGCTTATCATAATCAGAAAAGAGTTTTTCATTATTATTATATTAGCTAAAATTTTTTCCTAAATTTTTAATTTTTTTTATATAATAAAGGGCGAGGGTTTATTTAAGGACACTATGTGCCAGATTGAGTTCTAATTGTTACTTTCGCGAATATGATTTGCAAAGAGATTTAATTAAAATTTGCTTTATTTAAAATTTTAACGATGCGTTGCCTTAAATTCCCGTCTACAATGGTATGTTATAAAAAGAAGTAATTCTTAAAAAAAAACCGAAAAGAAACTGAAAGGAGAAAAGGAAAAAAACTTGCAACCAAAATAGTTTTGAAACTCTTCCCCAAATTTCAAAACTAATTTTGGTTTTTACTTGTTTTGCTATTTTCTACTCTGCTATAAAATCTCTAAATAAAAGAAAAAAACTACAAATGATATTAATTAGATAACGGTTTGGGTGAACTATATTCCGGTTTGTTCTTTTGTTTTTGTTTTTTTTTTTCTTTTCTTTTCTATGGTTTTATTTGTTTTTTATTCTAAAATTTTGTGTGTGTGTGTGTGTGTGTCTGTTCACAGTTAAGCTTTACTGATTGAGCTTTACTTAATTTTTTTTTATTTAATTTCTCTTTTTTTTAAAACTGTTCTATAGCTTGAAAAACTTGTACGTCTTAGTTAAAAATCTTTTCTTTTTCCTGGTGAGTGACAAAAATAAAAAAAAAAAAAGAACAAGAAAAAAATCAATGACAAATACATAAATAAAGAATTAAGTTATTGCATCACTTTCATATCCGTCATGTTGACAATCAACGCTTGCGTCTCATTTTGAATTTTTTGTTCACTTTGCACACACTTCACATTACAACTATGTGGGGCACCCAACTTTAATTAGTTTCTCAATATTTGATTGATTTTCGCCAAGCGCATGCCACGAAAGTCGTCCAAGTCGAGAATTTAAAAACAAATCTTGCGGTGAAAAATCAAAAATAGAAAAATTTTGCACATAATTCGCTTTCAACTCAAGATTAGGAAAAGATAACAAAGGCAGAGATTAACCAACTAGGGTCGAGTCGACAAATCCTCAAGTTGGATCGTAGGTCCCATTGTCGATTTGTTATTAAGTCACTGAAAAGAATTATTTCTTTCAATCAACGACATAAGTCATTTTCTTATTTAACTGATGGCTAATCGATTCCGATTAAAGGTAAGTCTCAAGGACTGCAAGCGATTAAAAAAGTAGCTCAAGCCAATGAAAAATGGAAAAAAATAAGTTACGAATTCAAAAGTTTCATATAGAATTATTGACCTGAATTACCTTGATTGGGCGATTAGAACTTTAGATCGTTCCAGCTCACTTGTGTGGACCGACTTTTATAATAAAACATACAATACAATATATGGCTGCTGTAATCTCTGAATTATATATTTGAATCAGCTGTTTCTGTGATCTAAGTCTTAAGCCCAAACGAGAGATTGGTTTGGGTGCCTCTCGTTATCTTCAGAATAATCTCTAGCCACTAGATGATATTTAATTTTGTCTTTGCCTCTTTAGAATTGAAGGCTGAATTCTAAAAAGTGATTGTGTGTTGTATCATACAGCGCAAGATCTAAAAAAAGTTACACAACCATGGGGTCGTCGAGGATTGCACACGCCAATTAAGCGGAGCAAGACCGCTTCACCTATACCTATTAATGATTACAATTTCCAAAATAACGACAGTAATTGACCATTGATTGTTGCTGAGAAAATAATTGGCAAATTAATTGATTTCCCCGCTTTAAAAATTAAAAGATTGAAGCGTTGAAAAGAAACTGTTCTAAGAAGCACTTGGTCATCGCTATCAGTGTTCGTCATCGTTAATATAATCAACGAATGATTATAGAGTGTAGGGCTGCGAAACTGAGTTGCTTTATTGCATTTGCAATACAGTTAAGTGAATATTTATATTAGAATTCATACTCGCTGACTCGCTGAGAATCATCTTTATCTTCATCTTCAGATTCATATTAAACTTATTACGAAATGAAAGGGAACTTTGCTCATTTTTTAACCAAATTATAGGAGCAAATCTCTGAGAGCTACTCAGCTTCCATCTACCATCCTTGCTTGCATTGATTATCAGTTGTTAGGTATAGGTTTAGGTTTAGCATTTTTGGAGCAGAGTCGTAACTCTTACGCTCAGTCACTTTGCTAAAGTGTTTTATGATGAGTCAATTATTCTTAGAGAAGAATAAGATTTCCTTTAGAAATCTAAACGAGAATATTCGTAGATAATCTATAACTTTAAAGCTTGGCGCCCAAAAAAAAAAAAAACTTAAAAATATTTCGTTAAGCATTAATTTACTCAATGATGATTAACTGCAGCGGTCAACCATGACTCAACTCAATCTTTCTTCTTTTTTTTTTTTTTTTTGCATATAACTAATAATGCGGATTAAAGCTAAGATATATGAAAGCAACAGAAAAATCATATTTCCCTAATTTTTCTTTTCTACTATATTTATATAATTATTTTCAAAATTTTCTTTATCGCGAGGATATCTAATTAAAATATAAACCGAAGTGTCGTCCTTAGCCGATTTTATTGGTTTTTAATTTTTTGTATTTTTCTCTCGTTTTATTTATTTTCATTGTAAATATATAATGATTTTTGTAGTTGATTGTGTACTTGATTGGTTGTAGATTGTTTTGCTAAAGTTTTCGTATTTTCATCATAAAAATATAGAATGGAAAAGTTTAGTCGTTTGAAACGCATATTTTTGATTAGAAAATATGGTCCCGAAGTTGTTTTTTTTTTTTTTTTTTTTTTTTATTTTTTTTTTTTTTGGGTTTTTCCCCATTTTTTTTTTTTTTTTTTTCTTTTTTTTTTTTTAAGTTTGTGCCAGGGGACTGTTGTAGAAATGTAGGAATGTGTTTGATATATACTAGAACTCGATGATTGGAAAAGCTTGAAACTCAATATAAAAGAAAATCTTAAGCTTCTTTTAATGCTTACGATTAATTTTGTCTTTTACTTATATATGTATATATATATATATATATATCTTTATATCTTTATATATATATATATATATCATTTTTTGTGTTTAGATGAGAATAAAAACTTACAAAACTAAGGTAAGTATTAAAAATTATTTTTATCTTTTCTGCCTTTCGCTATTAAAAGACGCCTTATGCTTACTTAAATGTGCAAATTTGGAAAAGAAGGAGCGTTATATGGACTGACCTTCTATCCCGTAAATGCGTGCGGTATATGAATAGGTTATTTTTTTTTTTTTTTTTAATGTTATACGGCAATGATTTGTTTTTCCATTTATACATCATTTGAGGATCCCATCAAATGAATCAAATTTCTTATCTGTGACGCTAACGACTCCATCTGAGGATCTTCATTTTTGTATAAATATATTCGACTAATTTTTATTTCTGATTATTTCTTTAAGAAGAAGGTTGCTCTAAGGGTTCTATTTGAGGATCTTATTTGTATATGATTTTTTCGGCTATCATTTGAATATCTATTCGAAACGATTCGATATAAAGATGCTTTTAAAAGTAATTCTAATATTTACTTCTTACTTATCAAAGGGGGATCCTTTCGAAAGGATTGTCACTTCTTGCTTTCATTTGAGAATTATTTAATGCTTGATTTTTTTTTTTTTTTGTGTTTTACTGTCGTTTGTAGGGCCTTTCGAAGGGCCTATGGTTACAGTCATATGGCTATAACTAAAACTTGTTCTTGAGATGGGTATGTGTTTCACTTGTTGTTGTTCTTGTTCTTGTTGTTGTTGTTGTTGTTGTTGTAGCTTTTAAGTTAATTAGCATAGCCATATACAGTACACCTCTAAATGAGTTTGAATTTCCGTTTATTACCGTTTTGGTATCGTTTATAGTTTGTATTAGAATTTGATTAGTATTTGTTTTATGCTTTTTAAAAATTATTATTCGATTATTATATTTAATTATTATTAATCTTTTAATTTAAATTTTCATAGTTATTTCTCTCTATGTATATATGAATATACATATATATTTCTATATATATATATATAACGTTAATTTTATTTATAACGTTAATTTTCATTATTTAAATTAGGTCTATTTAAGGGAAAAAGTATGTTTTTATATTTTTAAGGATTTCTTCTAAGTTGTATTTAAAAAAAAAAAAATAAAAATTTCTGTTATTCATGAATTTGTTATGCAAAGTTTTTTTGTTTTTTAATTTTTTTTTGTTGTTTTTTTTTTCTTTTTTTTTTTTGCCTTCTTATATTTATAAGAATAATAATAATAATAATAAATTAGCGTTTATTGGTGTATCTCGTAGGCTTTGTTATTTTTTTGCTAAATATATTTTAAAAATTATTTACTTTTATATCAATATTTTAATATATTTGGTTTTTTTTTTTTTTTAAGTTTTTTTTTAAAGCAAGTATATAATAAGTATGTAGGTGCATTTTTTTACTTAAAAAAATGAATAAAAATGAAAGATAACAACTCAAATTATTTTTTCTAATAACTTGTATGTATGTATGTTTTTAAAGCATCATATCCATCATACGTACTAAGTGAAAATTGTTTATAGATTAAAATCCTAAATCAAGGATTTTCTTCTTCTTTTCTAATTATTATTATTATTATTATTATTATTATCATTTCTAAGCTTATTTGTATTATTAACACATAGGTGTTAGTACGTATGTGTGTCTTGTCATATTATCATTATCATTATCATTATTGTTGTTGTTGTTGTAGTTGTTCTTGTGTGTATGTGTCTACGTGTGTGCACTTATTTTTTCGGTTCGATAATTTCTACTGTCACGCTTTCCGCTACCGGATTTGAAATGATGTTAGTAATTAAAGGTTCTTGCTGTTGATGTGTATGTGGCGTTGTCGATTGTTCCTGCTGCTGCTGCTGTTGTTGTTGTTGTTGTTGTTGTGGATGATGATGATGTGTATGATGGTGTGGCTGGTATGTTGAGCCTTTTCGCTCGTGATGACTATTATTAACAACTATGCCAGGAGCTACAGAATTGCTGCGATTCGAACGCAGCGATGTAGCCGAAGCATTGCTATTACTATTCGACCTTGAACCTGTAAATTAATTAATGCACAACATATTCGAAAATTCTTGCTTATATCATATATTCACACATTCCACCAAAACATTCCAGCTCTTCACTACTAAGAATTTAAGAAAAAACTTTTTACAAGTATTTACACAGCATGACACAATTAAAATAAAAAGGAAAAACAACAACGAAACATAAAAATGTTGATTATATTCAACAAGAACTACTAATTAGAATTTTTAATGAACCCATGAACGTGAAGAAATAAGTGGCAATTAATAATAAGAATTAAGCAATCAAGCAATCAAACCGCAATAATTTCCAACTCATAAACGAGATTTCATCAAGAATTAACGAAAATTATGTTGCATCGAATTGCATTGAAATATTTGGCTTTGTGTAGACATTGGCACAAATGCCACTCATATACTTGAAAATTTGGAGGCATTCCTGATTCTTAGCTTGCATTTTAAAATTTTTTAGTGAGACGTAATGGAAGACAAAAGCATCTTATTACATCCACCTGATGAGAACTTGAAGACGCATTAAAGAAATTCCTCACAATTGAAGAGAGTTGAAACTAAAAACTTCGCTAAAGACATAGGAAATACATATGAGCCAAGGACCGCAAACAGCAACCGTTAACGGTTTGAACATGAAATGGGTGGCAACACATTTTGAGTTGACTTGACTTTTTTCCGTCCCTGCTCGATTTGCCAATAATTCGTAACCATAGCTAATGCGTAATGCATTTTGATAGTGCAATACTGCGTCACTGCATTACTGTGCACTATTGCTAAAGTCAGAGAGCATCCGAAAGATTACTTCTCTGCGCAATAGATAAGACATATACGAAATCGCAAAGGGATACCTCTCAGCAGGCATTGCAACATTATTATCCAAACCAGAATCTGCGTCACAAAAATATATCAATGTATTGTTATCTTGAAGGGAATGCAATAAATGCTGACGATTAAAAAAGCGTTGTTTAGAAAAATTAAAAATTTTCCTTGATTTTTGTTCAAAATAGGCCTTTTCCTGATTATGCGGGGATATGACGCGATCGTAATTCATTTTTCTTAAGGATTTATACTGCGAACTTTAATTGAATGTGAACTGCGTTGAACTTGAATGGGATTCGAATTGAAATTGATCCGCGCAAGTGGTCATCTGTTGGCCGATGCAATGCTATGTCATGTTATCTCCACCTAATAATAATAACAAATTATAATACGTTTGATGTCTGCGGTCTTCCTAGAAATTCAACAAGGCCGACATGGGGCAGTAAGATTAAGATAAAGTTGGTAAATAGTTTAATGCTTCCATAAGAAGATTTTCTACCTGGTACGCTGATATTTACGTTTGCTACAATGGAAAGGGACTGGCGTAATGATTCATCCCGGGATTAGTTTCCATAGAGCAGTAAGATTAAGATAACGTTCTTAAATAGTTTAATGCTTCCATAAGAAGATTTTCTACTTTGTAGCTGATATTTACGTTTGCTACAATAGACTAGAGACTGGCATAATGACCCATCCCGGGATTAGTTTTCTTACCGAGCTTACGTTGTGAGAAATGAAGAAGCGCAGGCAAGGAGGAGTGCAAATTGAAGGGGTTCTATTTAACTGATTTTGGCCCATATAAAGGTGAGTTTTGCTTTTCTTCTTTACTTCACTTGATAGTTAATTTATGTATCTTGCTGTTCTTAACTTTCTTATATTTAAGTTGAACGTTTGCGAAACTTACTGTCGCTTCCCCCCTTTCAGCACCATTAGTTGTTCTTCTGAGCGGTTGGTAATTAACACAAAGAAAATCAGATGCGAATAATGTAAATTTGCGAATAAAAAATAAGGTGACTTGGGGAAGTTATCGAAAGTGTCTGGAATCGTTTGTTTGAAGACTTCTCTACTAAGAACTCAACTAAAGTGACAGTCAGCGCTCAGCACTCAACACTTCACACTGTTACTGAAGGGGCTAGAGAAAAAGTAATGCCAATTGGTGCCTGTTGCACGCTTGCGTTACTACCTGCCCGAAGCCAATCAAATAAGAATTCGATTAACGTGATAAGTCAAAGCAAGAAAAAAAAAATGTTCTTCATCAATTTTTGACAGATTAAATCGTGAACCTTTTATAGTACTCCACGTCTACGTCAATCGAATAACGTTACCTGGCATCTACAGCATCTAATCGAAAAAATTCAAATTATTAATTGCCAATAATCGTGTAATGTGCGCAAAAGTGTTAATTTTGTATGGAAGAGAAAAGCGTATTCGCCTCTAGGCAAATTTTAGGCGCCCACCACTTCCAGTTAACTCCAAAAAGAATATGTTGATAACTGGTCCCTCCAGCCCATCTCTCTCGCATACGATAATAATGTATGAAGAAGATGATGGTGGCCAAGGATGGTCGCCCCGACAAGATAATGCTTTGCAATTTATAAAATTGAAGGGAAAGCGTGTATCATGAGGTGCTCCAAACCGGCGAATGCGTTTCAAAGTCTCTATGCACGTCTTTAATAAGTCGCCAAAGAAAGTGAAAGAGTCTGTGTAGGACGATGCAGTGCATCCACCAAACTGACCTCAGAAGAGGGAAATGCGAAGCACTTGGAATTCCGTTATTCGACTGCAAGCCCTAAGGTGATGGCAACATGACTTCGTCAGAGACAAGATTCATTTAACATTTAAGAAGAATTTTTGCGGATTTGAATCTTATAGAAAGACCGCATTGAAGTTTATTCCTTGATTAAGAGACTAAGGACATAGTACATAGCTTATTTTATAGCTAAAGGAATCTGATATTCGTGGTCGTGGTTGAGTGCCTCTTAGTAAACAGAGTTTTCTTTCATCTATTAAACTGTATTGATATCAATATTTTTGCATTTTTATGCACGTAAGCCGTATAATATCCGTACGTATGTTCAACTAGACTAATTGATTCACGAGTTCTACCGATTTCATGTAAAGACAAATTTTTTATCTCATAACAATAACAACGCACATCTATCTACAGGACAAACCGATAGAAATGCACGCGGCACAAATGAATGAATTGTTTTACTTTATTAGGCACAAAGCGAACAAGAGGCAGAGATAGTAAGACAGACAAAAATTGGATACAAAACAAACAAAAAAAAAAAGCCGACTTTTTATGAAATATGAAACAAATATAGAGAAGTAATGAAGAAGTAATGATTACAGTAAACTACCGGATTAATTCGGGAACGACTTTGAAATGTCGGGGTCACTAACTAGAACAGAAATGCAATGTACACGAGGAATATGCGAATTGGAAAAGGGTTCACTAATCAAAACATTAACGTGTTCATACTTAAGTGGTAGATGTAGAGAAGAGAAAACACAGCATACCTTATGTTAATAGAAAGAAAACATATTTGAATACCGACCGGTTGATTGGTTATACATGTCTTAAAGTAAAGAGATGCGATTAGCGTATACGACTTTCCACATTTATATTTACAGCCTACAGTGTAGTCAGTTCAGTTACGAGAGGGCGGAAATATTATTCGATGTTTTGTTTTTTTTGTTTTTTTTGTTTTTTTTTTATAGTTTTTGTGGCGATTATTAAAATTTGTTCGTTTTATTGGCGACAGATGGGGGTGGTGTACTTAACGGTGTACTACAGGCAGTAGTCCCGGCTAACGGTATTTGACTCACATACGTTGTGGTGGTGGTGTTAGGTACTGTGCCTGCGTTACCAGTAGCGACGACATTATGTGTTGACAGCGGTGACACAGTAGCGCTATTGTGTGGGTGGATAACATGCGTTAAGTTGGTCGCATGCGAGGTTTGGTGCATATTGGTCGCATGACTGTGCTCAATCAAACGTGAACAATTCGAAGTATCACTAACACGCGAATCACTAGATCGTGTATTACTTTTAGATCTTATCATACGTCCTGCAAATGAGAGCAAGCATTAGGAAATGGGCCATGAAGAAAACGGCCTCAAGTCAGAGTACCAAATTTTATAGATAGACATATATTTATTTATACATATAGAGAGGAAGTGTTGCTGGAATTCATATGTAAATTATATAACTTGGATTTATCTGTTTATGAAAGTGCAAAGCGTAATCGATCCGGGAAGTGTGAGTGAGTTTATCGACGCAATACAAAATCTAAGATAAATCTGGCCATAAATCATTGTTGTTTAATTGTTGTTGCATGTACAAGTTGTTATGGTCATAAACATGTCTGTAACAGTTCATTATTATTATTCTTCCACAGAAGGCGTCATTAGCTGGCGTTCGTTCTTCGCCACTACTACATAACCATGACATACCAAACATGTTGGTTGTTATTGCAAATGACATAGAAACAATGACGCAGAGCAACTTAATTTAAAAATCAAGTAAATTCTTTTCTTTCTTCAAATTATCTCCGGTATATATATTATGCAATTCCTTGTATGTATATATATATATATATATATATACATGTTTTGCTCTTATACTCATACACATATACAGAAAAATATTTAATAAAAAAAAAAAAAAGTGAATAAAAGTTGAAAAAAGGTTTTTTTTTTTTTTGTTTTTTTTGAAATGTAATAAAATAACATTGAGTTTGTGTTCAAGTACAAAGAGAGAAAGAAAGAAAGAGAGAGAGAGAGAGAGAGACAGAGCAAAAATATTTTCAAGTGCAATAGGGTGCATGGAATACAAACCTGTCTTACCTAACGACGGGTTCGGTGAGTGAGGACGCAACGAAGCCATACTGGGTTGACGTGAAGGTCCCCTCACCGACATTCGAGAGCCGCGTCGCTCTTGACCGTGTAATAGTTTGCTTTCGCGTAATAACGACACGTTCATCAGACGTGGATTCGGTGTATTAAATATTGTACGATTTTCATGCCATCTGGCTCTGTTTTAAAAGGAGTCAAGAGAAAAATGCCAACAACAAATTCCTTGATGTCTTTTGCATTTCTTTTACTTACTGACTGAATAATCGCAGTACAACGCATATAATGATAAACATTAAGGCCATGCCTATAAGTACACCAATCATCGCCCAGTCAACGTACACTTCGGGAGTCTTCTTGTCCTGACGACCTGCTGTTATGTTTTAATAATGTATTTATTATGCGTAATGTATGTGTGTTTATGTTATATGCGTTTAAGATGCGAAAGAGTAAAAGAAAAGGATAAATGTAACGGTAAATACCTTTACATTCAACGGAGCCGTCTTTTAACCAAAATGGTGTCATTTCAAAACGACACACACATCGTCCATCGCGGCATTCAGTTTGAAAGTATTTTGCCTCGCATTGTTCGTTAAAGAAACAGCTTTCGTTAACAGCTGCCTCTGGAAACGCAAATAAAATGATGAATAAATTGCTTAACGTAACGTAAAGTATGAGACTGCATAACTTGGCATGCACTTCAATATAATGAGTATATGTAGCTTTTGTACAAGTCATATAAGCGACGATGGTCTGTTTGTCCGTCTATGGAGTTCATTATATATCCATTGATTCGCTCGACTGCTAGTATGTCTGTGTGCCTAACAACGAATTCTCTGTAAGTTTGATCATCAATCCGCCATCAACATCCAATGCAGTTTGACTAACAGTTCGTCTAATTGCTCTTCTGAAAAATGGTATGCATGTATGTCCGTCTTACGGATCGGCAATTTATCTATCCGTTCAGCTGTTTACCCGCTCAGATGTCAAAACTTGTCTGTATAGCCAACCCCTTTATTAATGATCCATTCATCTACCCGTTTGATTGTCAATCCGTCCATCCATCCGTCAGTTCATATATAGTATAAGTGTTTTAATTGTCCATTTAATCGATCATTAATTCCATCTATTCGTCTTTCCCCTTTTATCCTTTGTTTTGTGATCAGTCTTTTTGCCTTTTGCTTTTCTGTTCGTTTTATTTATCTACTGGTTTTCCTTCCAGCAAATGGAAGCAAGAAAAATTATATATGCAATGAATGCTCCTCCGTGAACTCGACAAACAAAACTGACAACAGGGTATAATCGAGAAAACATACACAGCTGCCGAGTAGCGGAGTTGATAAGGATCGCGACTATCATCTCGATGTTCGCGCCTTCAAATCTCACACCTCTCGTATCTTCCTTTTTCCTTATTTCCTTCTGACCGCCAACGTCTTCACGTTTAGAGGACATCCCTCCCCCCACCCCTGAGCAATTGATCCTGCATACAAAAAAGCAACTTCTCAACGCCTAAAACTACGGCTCTTAATGAACACACAGGGGGGGAATGAATATTTAAAGATCTTGTGTAAATTACAATAAACTTGAAAAGCGTTCATTTGACATCTAAGACCTAAACCCAAAAGTAGTTTGCCTATATAAACGAAGATTAATTTAAATTCAAAATTTGTTAGTGCTAGGACTGCCAAGGTTAGATTATCAACAAAGTTTGATGGTGTGGCTTGAGTAAAGCGGACATTTTTTTTCATACCTTTAATATCATTAGCCAATCAGATGGAGGGCATATGCACTGTATAACTTAAGGCTTGGTTTTGAGGAAGGGGAGAGGGAACTAAAGTTTAAGCGTCTGCTCTCATCAATTCCATGACATACTTCAACGCGCATTAGTGTAGAGAATATTTAGCTATTCAATGTTTAATCGTCATTTCCCTTTGAAACATTTCGCCACAGCTGCATAATAGACCTTTTGCCAACATGCATTATATTTATTATTATTTTTTCCCTTTTGATAATAACTTGGTTTATGTGTTTAGTTTGCAAGAGATTATTTATTTCCGATACATACTTGGAAAATAATAACAAAATTTGTAGCGCAAAGAACTCCTAAAAGTCCGCAACCTGCCGAGTGCATTAGTTGCGTAGTGTATGTGGTGCCAGGAAAATAATATATGCACACACACACACACACACAGCATGATTTCGATGATCACATGCACAAATAAAGAAATACGGGAACGTTCTTTATTTCTATTATAAATTTTGAAAGTTTTTCACTTATTCAAGGACAAACGTATGTGCGAAATATTGGTCGCTACGTGAATTGACTTCTTGTGCACGCTGGAAGTGCTTTAATCTTAATAAATCGAAGAGCATTTTCATAATGGCAAAGAAGCTTTTTTTTCGATTTGTAAAACAAGAAAAGAACATGCGTGCGTCTGTACGTCCGATATATTCATGGTCTAAAGCATTGATTAAGAATTCAAATGATTATTTTAGTTACTTATACTTATAATGGGGAAAAAACATTTTTTTTTTCTTCATTTATATATAGTGAAGCTCACTGACGCGTCTTTATTCTGGACGATCCGAAAACTTGATATATATATCTGATCATTGTCACTTTTATGAAGCGTATCACGCACAAGAACATGTAAGAGTCACTTGTACTTGATGCGTGTTTGTTCTCGACTTTTTTCAATGTTGCAAATTTTGTGTATAAATGGCTTTCGGATTGACGCGTTTTTATAATAATTTTTTTTTTAAATATATGTTATATATGTATGTATATTAAAATTTATAAAATGTATTTATTTATAAAAGTAATTGTTAAGGATAATAAAAAATAATATAAAATATTTAATAAAGTTTCTAAAAAGGTAGACCCAAACCATGCGAACAATTGCTAAACTTTCGGAATTGTGGCAGCAGCTTAGAGAGTGTCTTAGTTTTCCGAGTGGTATGTACATTTCTTTTTATACCGTAAGTAAAGTCGTCATCTTTTTTTACATACATTTTTATTTTCTTTTTAAAGAAGCCGCGATTGCTCTATTCGAACTTTGATCAAAATCGTGTAAGATAAACTCTTACGTCCTTTCTATTCCCCTCGCAGAGTGATATATTACTTTACCGAAATTTTAATAGCGCCGCCGAAATTATTTTCGATTTGGAAAAGCTTTAATTTGATAAACCGATCTTACGAGGATTAAAGCTAGGCTTTGCATATTTTTCTTATGACCCCAGTAAAAATGAAAAGCGCACTTACCTTTGCCACATTTGTCAATGTGATTGGTGACCGGCAAGTCTTCGGTACATTGACAAGATTTTTTCTTCGGGTCGCAGATGGAGCCAGGAAAACCGCATTCTAAGGTGTTTTCACATTTATCACCAAATTTTTTTTGCCCTCTGCTGGCATAGTCTGCAAGAAAATAAAAAATAAATAAAATTAAGATATGTTGCATGAACGAAATATGTTACATGAATGAAATAAATTATATCTAAACAATAAATCAATGTGTGTGTATGTGCTCCAAATTTATCACTTATATGTTAAACTACGACCATGGATTAACTTTCATCATAACTGCACAATAACTGCAATCTAGTCGCTAATACGAAAATTGCTTCTCAAGCAGAGGGTGTCTCTGTATCATCCAAGTCTTTTGGATTCTTTTATTTTCATATGTCAAACTATTGCATTTCACTCAGTTTTATCGCGAACTATTAAAAATGATTAATTTTGTTTCATATAAGGACTTCTTTGAAGTAAGCCGTATTATGTGTGGCAATTGTGAGGATAGTTCGATCCAATTCCTATTTAATAACTTTCGTCCTTGGGCTAAATATCTCGCAAATTGTACCGGCAGATATAAGATACGATAGGATAGATGGATCAAGAAGCTTACATCGATTCGGCGAATTTTTCTGAATAGTTTGAGAAATGATTCTGACGCAGCAATTGCGACCATTGAACCCCCAGCAACTTAATGTATCCGTCGCTATCACTACGACTGTGGGATGAAAATAATTAAAATGAACGCAATTATTGGTCCTTAATAAAATTTGGATAATTAATTCAAATCAATTTGAAGGATGTCAAAATACCACTACATTAAACTGAAATCAAAAGTTTGTGTGAAAAGGACTCTAGCAGCAGGGACCAACGAATAATGATAATCGTGAAAATTGCAGCTTAAAACTAATTCGAAAGTCTACGCCCGTCCTCTAGCTTCGTTAGACATGAAAAATTTACTAGAGCTAGAGAGAAATATAATCGATGATGTCATGTCAGAGTAATTACATTACAGTTTCATTTCGCTAAAGGTGCTGAACAAATTCAATTTGTTGCTAAATACAAACTTTGATATAATGTTTCGGAGAGTTTTATATAACGTCATTCATTACAAATCATTGATTAAATTAAGCAAACTTGTAGAGAAATAGAAGGAACTCGTAGGCTCCCATCTCTTCCGTATAAATTTTTATTCTCGTATTGCTAGGCCGAAGAAAACCTAAGTTTATATGAATTTTTTTGAAAACCTTCCCGATCGGGTCTGAAATAGCAATGTCAGAAAAGTTAATAGTTTTCCCGCCGCTTATTCTTACATCACCCAGTGAAGATCGATGGATGAATGCCTTTGGTTTAGAATATTTTGAAATCCGCGTCAGCGAATCAGTGACATAGGTGAGTGGCGTCATCCTATGTACATAACATATCGTTATCTATATTAGTAATTCTGCAAGAGCAGCAAATAAATATATTTGGAAGTGAAACGACTTGCTTTTATCTTTATATATATATATATATATATATATATATATAGGTACTTTTTTTCCCCAAACAACTAAGTCGTGTCTAGTCGCTCGCCTTAAGACAGATAACTATTCGCTTTCCATGAATTTCCATAAATGATTGTAATTGCTCTACTGGTAAGCCTTAATTATTTACGTCAGCGTCAGTGGAGGAAGAGAGAGAGAGAGAGAGAGAGAGAGAGGTCATGCTTTGTTTTGCTTTGCTTTATTGCACGCAACACCGGGAGTTTATCAATGTTTGCGAAATTTTGCGAAAATGTTTGCAACAGCAAGAGGGACCTTCAGGAATTGTATAGAGTACACATGTCAGTCTACTGATAGGTATCTGAATTGATCTAAGTATGTTAATTCGGGTGTCCGTCTTTCACATAATACCATAAAGTTCTTGCATGGAAATTGATATCGTAGGGGCATGCCTACAATATGACAAACAAAAAAAAAAAAAAATGGAATTTTTGCTCATTACTCAAAAACTACACATAAACACATGCAACGAATTAAATTTCCATATAAATCACATATGTTATGTGTGCCATATGATATTTGCAGGAAAATGAAAGAAAGAGAAAAAAAAAAACGGCTACGCCTACTTAATATTATAGAGGAGGAGAGGGGGGTTTTTTTGTTTTTTATTTTAAATAAAAATTATAGTTAGAAAAGATTCGGCCGCAGCTGAATATAATTTCTTGTTTACTTGTTTTTGTTTAAAGCGGAATCTCTCCACTCTCTCCTCTCTATCGCAATTGTGTACAATCATATATATATATATATATATATGTATGGAAACGAAATGTGGATGTCTGCTAAAATCGCGTTCACATTTCTGAAGTAAGGAAATTGACTACTTAAGTCTTTGATTTGATTTGATTCATGTTCCTCTGACGGGTTGCTACTGCAGCCTTAAGTTTTCTAAAAATATATGTGAAACGCTTACAGTCACGTGATTGCCATTAAGAAAATGTTCTTTTTCTTTGTTTTATTTTTATTTTACTTTAAAACAAAAAAAAGAAAAAAAAAAACAGAAAAAATGCTGAGAAAAAACGTGATTGAACACGCGTACGTAGGCATAGGGCCAAACTTCCAATTTGTTTGCTAAAGGTTTCCTAAACGAGCGGATTTAATGCAGCGTAATAGTGATGTATGTTCGGAGAGGAAAATAAATCAAAATATAAGTCAGCGCAGTCACAGGACTATGCGGTTCGAAAACCTACGAGCTACGAACTACGAACTAGTGCTTGTGTGCGTCTCCGTACTGTTGCCTTGAAACGAAATTCATTATGTTTGCTTTTCAAAATTGTGTGAGGCAGTTAGTTAACGGCAATATGCACAAACACGTTATCTTTATTATTTTTTTATACGGCTGTCCTTTAATTTAATACGAATAAAAAATAAGTGGCAAAAGAAGCGAGAGATATTTGTTCAGGCGGATATTGAACGGAATGCTTAAAACTTATGTTAAGCATGCGAAAATTATTTTACCGCCCAACGGGTAAAAGCTCTTTAAAGAGCTGATTACGACGATTTGTAAAAGTAATATTTCTATGGGGCATCTTCTGCTTCAGATCCGCACATCGTTTGCGATAGGCGGAAATCGCTTTTTTAACAATTAAAATATATATATACTCTAATATATAGGTCATGGCATATAGATGGAGCAGACTGAACTTATGAACTTATGATGGCTATGGGATATGTAGATTAAATTTGGAATTGTTGTTAGCGTACACAGGTAATATTCCGGTTTGGCGAAATGGCAAGTAGTTTGGGTTCGCTCGCCATTCCGATCCGCATTGTATTGAAAGTTTATTGTTCTTGCCTAAGCTTAAATACTAGCATCTCATGGCATTGGTGCGTTTCCCTTTCATACTAGGTCAACTTTGTTTTGTGCGGACCTCCTTGGATGTTACGGCAAAGAGTCTGCTTATTTAAAAATCGTCCAGCGGAATAGCGCGCTCAGGGAAGGGAATGAACAAAAACGTACGGTCGTACGTTTATTGTCGAGAATATTGCATCGGCAAGATTTCGTAATATGTGCCGATTACGTGAGCTCGGCCGCCATATTTTAAAAAGCCGAATAATGGAAGCAAAAGAAAACCAGTCTTATCATAAAGTTTCAAAGTCGTCTGCGATAGAATAATTTACGTCATTTGTATTGTTCAAGAATGCATTTTGCATTGCGGTCTCTATTATGTGCATTTCTAACTTATCTAATCAGCTTCGGAAACTTTCTGGTAATGCATGCAATCAGTAAAGGAGTAAGCAAGCAAGCTTTATGGTGGATATCAATAATGTGAATTTGGAGATGACTAAAATTGTTTATGAAAAGTGAAAACGAAGTGTAAGAGAAAGAACTCACCGAACTCTGTGGTCGTTGCTTCCGGTGCCATACTAAAGCTGTTCACGCCAAAGAAATGATCGTCATCGTTGGCGACCGCTAACTGCGGCAGGGTGAAAGCTGCTGCGTACAGCAAACATAAAGTCAACATTTTATCGCTTTTCGGCCAAATGTTTCCCGAACGAAGGCAATTAAATCCGCGTGAAGCGCGCATGACTTTGATTACTTTAGCGCTGACGTCAAAAGTCGATAAGAACGGCCACAAAATAATGATTGTTTGCCATAAAAACATCGACAACTGGCTGCTGTCAGGATTTCGAACTAAATTGTTCCCAATAACGACTCTCTTAGCAGCAGCAGTTTGTAGCGATGGCGAATACCTGCTTGACGCTTCTAATGTTACAACTTTTACTAAGCTCTGGTGTAGTAGACGCGTTTCAATATTGACGTCTATTAAAGTTTGCTGCTCTTCTCTTCGTATTTGTTGTTGTTTTATTTGCTTTTGATGTGTTCTTCTTCCTCTATTCCCGTGACTATTGTAATCGATATTTGTAAACCTATTTACGTTGCTGTTGTTCTCCTCGTTGTTGTTAGTGTTGTTGTTATTCTTCTTCTTCTTCTTATTGTTGTTGTTGTTGTTGTTGCTTTTATCGTTACTGCCACTACAAGTTGCTTTTGATGATTCCAACTTTTTGGAAATAATTTTTACGTAAGATGCACAACTTTGATGCTGTTGTTGCTGTTGTTGTTGTTGCATTTTATCAACACCAACCGCATTTCTCGTAAAATTGACATCTTTGACAACATCAACATTTTGATAAGGATATCGCTGCTCGCGATATTTACTAGCTATTGCAACAACACCGGTGGAGCTTCTTTGAACGGAGGCTCCTTGGTGGGGCTCTAAAGCCCCATTTAATTTCATATTTTTTCGTCGTCGCGTTCTTCATCCATTCTGTTGGATTTTGCTATTTATTATGCTTTTATTATTGCTTTTGCTCTCTCTCTCTCTCGCTCTTTTGATGCTATATTTACAACAATATTTTCACGTTTCTTTAACCTTTGCAACCGGAACTTGTTTCCTAAAATAAACATAAAGGATAACTACGTGGCATACTTCTGTATATACAAAACAAACAGAAATGAAAAAAAAAAAAAAAAAAAAAACGAGAGAAATCAAATATTAAATACTTGTGTGTGTGTGTGTGTGTGTGTGTACATAGCATTTCTATAAATACGTAACGTTTATGTACATAAAAATGTTCGTATGAATTTGCACGTATCGTATGCATATAAAATTTTCATATACACATATACACGCACGCTCTGGAGGATATTTTTTTTTTTTTATTTTTTTTTATTATTCAGCTGAAAGTGTTGTGTTGTTGCCTTGGCAACTATTTAAAAATTATGTCACAGCCCTATTGTCACATGGTTTTATGGTAAATGCAACCTTTTTATCCCATCCTTAGGCTAAATGTAAACTACTTCACATACCTACATCGGCATGTACGTGGATGGATTGTTTTAACTTAACAGCAGAATATTTAGCAAAGCTGTTCCGCTTATTTTATACATGCACATGTATAAACATGCGTAAACACAAACGCACATACACGTTTACACGATTGAGCGTGTCTACATAGAGAAATGAAAAAAAAAAAAAAAAAAAAAAACAAAATCATAAAAAATTGAAAGGATTCGTTTAAAAGATGAACAGTTTTATTATTAGTTTAAAAAGGTTAACAGTTAAACACGCGTCGCTTGTAAGGGTCCACCCAGCAATTATTATAAACATACATACACTTACATGACAGCAGCGTTTGCGCCTAAAAGGACGCATACAAATTTCCGGCTGCTAAAGGCATAAAAAAATCGTTGCATATAGCAAAGGCCGACTGCGCTCATGGGATCCTTAAACTTTTTAAAAATTTAGATAGAAAGTTGAAAAATTTGTGACGCACATGTATTATTGCATCTATCATTGTCGAAGAAAAGTCGCATATAAAGTCGCACGGTAATCGTATCCGTGAAATTAAAGCAAGATCAGCATGAAAAGCAGAGGGCATTTTGGAACGTTTATACCAAAAGGTTTATTACTTGTATGTATTACGATGATATTATCATAAAATTTGTCATAAGCTTTATAACGGATTTAATCGTTGCCGAGAATTCGTTTGATGAACTTCCGCCGGCAGACTACATGAAAATTTGCTTACTTGCGGACGAATTGGTAAACAAAGATGCTTGCGCGAGCACACAGAGGCTTGTATGAAAAGGCTGTCATGAATCCTATCCGGAGGCGTGTAACTGCCGAATTAGATGGTCGTGAGTTTGGCGGCCTTTTTAGTTACACCGTTAAGGTAAAATAAAAATGCAAACAGAGATAATTCGAAGTAAGACTTTCCGCAATTGTTCTGGCTTAACTTAATAATTCATTCAGATTCATTTAGATTTTCTGTGAACATAGCTTTCTAATCCTTTGCTTATGTAAAAAGTTATATCGGCTTGAAAATGAGTGAAATATCTGAAGAAATACGCTCTGTAATGCCTTCTTACTATAAAAAACTAAACTAAAAACGCTGCAAAAAAAAAAAGAGGAAAATTTGTAGAGCGTACGATAAGAATGTTGAAGTGAACGAAGGACTCACAGGGGTTTGCTCGATTCCGTCGCGAAAAAGTCGATGACATTTTTGAATGAATTTTCTATAAGAAAAGGTAATCTTTTGACTTAAGTTAGCTTATCGAAAACATCTCAATATCTCAATACTTCTCTAGAAGTGACATTGCTTGGATCGTTTTCAGCTGCTGATGGGTCGTCTCGATGAAAGTACACCATCAGATATGCATAAATTTGGAAATACTTTTACATGAACATAAACATATCCTGAAAAGATTTATCAGTGGATTGGAAAACTTAGGCTGTAACTTTCCAGTAGGGGTTTATTTGAAGCGGATAGTCTTTTTTGCAGCGCTTTGGAAAGTGCGCAAAATTGCAATGAAAAAAATTTTTTTTTATTAAGGATTTTTCGTATTCCCATGTTAAACGGTTTAAAGCATGCATTTATTTATTAAGTGAGTAAAAAAGCAAAAAGAATTTTGAAAAAATTTGTAGTGGCTTCCGTCCTTAATAAACAAATACGCAAGTCTTTAGATTGTTAAATTGAATGCTTAATACAACAAGTTGTCTACTTGACTCCGCTTTCTCCTCCCCCTCCTGCGCTACTCTAAGCAGACAAGTGTTGCGGCGCATTTAAAATCTGAGAACTTAAGCAAAAGGTAAAAACGTGAGTTGATGTTAATAAATTGACAAGGATTGTATTAAAAAAAAAATGACATCAACCTTTGATAAATCATAAGTAAGAAAATGTGTGTAATAAATTTTCTTTCGCTTTTTTCCTAAGAAAAATGTTGCGTTCAACATTTATGAAATTATGAATTTAACTTAAAGTGCTTTACGGTTAGAGCCCCAATTAGCTTTAGTGTCAAGACGATTTAGAAAAGATCGTCACACTTTATAATTAAGATAACACTTGTATCTATTACATATATATATATATATATTATATATATATGCAAGTATACGCGTGTATATGTACCGAGAATTTATTAAGAAGGAGGCATATTCTTGCTTTCGTCCTTTTTCTCCCTTCCACCGTCAAAGACAAGTTTAGTGCATGTGCGCATTTTCTCAGGGTCGTAAGCCTTAACATGACATAAAAATGAAATTTATATGCATACATATGCACGCATGCCTATCTATGAAATGATATAAAAGAAATACTACAAGTACATGCACGTATCTGATTTCGGATGTGAAACGCAGCGCTTATACCATCACCATCACGGACAATTTCATTTACAACACACACACACACACAATAAAGGCGACAACATTCTTAGGATGAAGTAAAAATTAATGCAAAGAAAAACTAAAAAAATAAAAGAAAAGCAAAAAAAAGGAAAGAAGAAGAATTGGAATAAGAATAAGAAAATTCTTTCAATAGCTCGCTCTACGTATATGTATACACTAGAATTCTGTTATATAGGAAATTTCATAAAATTGTGTAAACAATGAAAATTGCAAAACAATTTTACAAATGGTTTACGCTACGCAGTTAAAGCAATTCCCTTCATATAATTTTCATCTGAATTGTACAGTGATGATTGAGATACAAATGATCTCACGCAAGCACTCGTTCAAAGTACTGAAAAATAGTTTAGCGAAACGCATTTCTAAAATTCCTACTTATACGGGCGTCGCGGCGCCTATGCATCGACTACCAGAAGTTGTTCATAACTGAATTTGAAACGCGCCTATCATCTGCACTGATAATATCATGATGAACATGATGAAATTTAAATGACTAAATGTCTATCGTGCTAACGCGTTGACCCACTTGACAGTAAGACCCAAAAACAGGAAACTTTTGATAGCACTAAGGATCGCTTCATAACTGAGATCATCAAAGAGATACGCATAACTGTAAGAGAAGTTTATAAAGCGAGTGATTACGTACGACATCTTTATTTCAAGTTGGATCTGAACTTAGTCCAATCTAAAGAAGAATTCTAACCAACATAACAACAATAGTAAGAATAAGTCTTTTTTGCCATATTAGAACGTACGCAAGTGTTGCCTTTTTCCCCCCTCCCCAATGAGAGAAGTTAATGAAGCGAGCGATTACGTGCGTTTTTTAGAGAAAGAGAATTTAGAGCACTTGCGGCAAATAGGCGAATCAGCCATTTCGATTTAGAATCTTGGATTGACTAACGATAAGTTAATTATATAGCGTTTTCCACAAGGCTTTGCAAATTTACTATGTCTCTCTCCACCGTTGGTTTATGTAAAAATCTTCAAAAATGAATAAAAACGAAAATATTGTAAACTTGTGCGCTGACATGGAAAACTTTTACATCGCGGTACATGTTCCGCTAAATGTTTGCCTTTTTTGGCCTATTTTCTCTTCTTCAAAAACCGAATGGAAAACAAAGGAACAACAAAATATTACCTGTACGCACGTAAGTAATTTATATAAAAAAATGATTGAAGAAGAAGGTGAAGTTGTTCAGCTGATTTTTCTATTTAGAAACTTTGTACAATTTGGGCTGGTGTACTTCGCAACTGCATGAAGGCCTCTAATACGTACATATACATATGCATGCCATTGACAAAATGCTTTTGTATGTAAAGTAAGAACGGAATTTTCCACTGTCTGCATCTAACAATTTATGCCTAACAAAGTCAACATTAATTCCAAACATTTTATGCAGTTAAGTGTAAATATTCAATTATGCACGAGGACATACTTTATGTGTTCGTATGCGCGTATCTACTGCTGGCCTACGTGTCTGCTTAGTTGATTATCATTATATGTTATCGAGCCTATGTGTTTAATATTTATATTTATTTTTATTTAAATAAAAAGCCGCCTCCTTAGGTGTAAAGCGTTTCGATGTTCAAATTGATTACGAGACTCTCTAGAGGAAATGAAAAAATCAAGAAAACTTTCTAATATTTTTCTTCAAATTTAAAGAAAAAAACCAAAATAATTGTAAAAAATATGTAGAATTTTATTAGAGGACGATTTGAGGAGCAACGAGACAAAAGGCGATACGACCAAGATGGTGGATTAAACCGCCTAAGAAATCAAGTTTGCTTGTTGCTGCTTGCTATATATGTCAGCTACTTATACTTCTTCTATATGGAAATGCAATTTCCAATTGTCCGAAAATATTATATGCATTTACAACAGTAATCATTTAAATTGAATCGACTTCGGAAATAGTTATAAACATATCATTAAACGATAATTGGTCTGAGAATTTGTAATTTAACAAATGTGTAACTAATTTTAAACTTCCTTTCCTTTTTTCAAACGGGCTTGCCTTCACAAGCAGCGGCTGTTGTTTTGATAAAATGCCTGCAATAATTTTGGAGTGTAAGCTACGTTGGTGTAGCACTTTGATACTGAATTGTTTTTTCGCAAGTCAGTCCAGTTTTGATCCAAATCCGTTGTTGTCATTTCTTTTCATACAATTGCAACTTTCTTTCTAAAATGTAAACCATATTTTCGAACAA